ATTTATTGTAAACACAAAAATTTGCGTTGTTACGTTGTAGATAAGGTTCTCAGGAGTAATAATCATTTTGGATTTTTCTGTGGCTATTCTGTTTCCAGAGCTATAAAATTTTTAAGAAACTCCATTAGAATTGATATTAGTACATATGCAAAAGAAAAATTTTTTTTTTTAATAAAAATTTGATCTACATGTTTACGTGACACCAAATCCTTACTATTTGATTTTATTATTTGGTTTCCCCTATATTTGTGATTATACTAATATCTAATACCCCAATAAACAATGGTGAGTATAATGGGTGCAAAAGTACTTAGAAGATGACCAGAATAAAACAATATTTACTGATGAGACAGCATTCCAGCTCTTTAGGAATACTGTTGAAAGATGGTACAAGGGTGAGCAACCTGTATGACGGATTCCAAAAGATCATAAAATATTTGCATGGGGAGGCTTTTCTATAAAGGGTAAGACCAACCTCTTTTGTTTCACAAATATTATGAATGCAGAATTTTATGTTGAAATTCTGGAAAACCATATTCCTGAGATTTGAGAACTAATGGTGAGGTGTTGGCGGCTTCAACAGGACAATGACCCTAAACACACTAGCCATCTTGTCCAATCATTCATTAGTGAGAATGTCCCTGACATTATGGACTGGCCAGCAAACAGTCCTAACTTAAATCCTATTGAGAATCTCTGGAATATTGTTAAGAGAAACATTGAAAAGAGAATGCCAAAAAATCAGCAGGATTTATGGTTGAGGAATGGAATGCCATTCCAAAAAGCATGTTAATCAATTTAGTAAAATCAATGAAATGAAGATGTGAATTAGTTATAGAGAGTAATGGAGAAAGAATATCATATTAAAAATTTATCAATAAATCTCTCATACACTTTACCTCTACATATATATTTCGGGGTCCTTTCATACTTTCAATATTATAAATATAATCATAAAATATCCTCATACATACAGGAAACACATCTAATTCTTTCTTTGAATAATGGAAACCATCTATTGGAATCATTTTGTTCCTTTGTTAAATTATTTACTTTTTCAGCTAATTTTTTTAGCCAAAGTGATTTTGTTGAGTCTGCACACCTGCTGTTTCCAAAAAAAAACTTTTTTCTCCACATAAAATTAGTGTTATTCACATTAATAATATATGTGTGCATGTGTTCTTGTAAAGGAATAATAAGGTTAATTCTTCTTTAGATATTTTTTTGTTAGATATCTAGCCAATTCATCATAAGCATTTTTAGCAATTTTAAAAGATTTATAATTTTAATATATTATGTATGAAGTTACATTTGACAATCCTCAAATCATTAGATCAGGAGTTATTTCATCACTAACAAATCTATCACTTTGCAGACTTAATAAAGCAATCTTTTGTTCTTTTGTCCCAAATTAATAAATCTATTCAAATAATTATCTTTATTTAATTCCTTGAAAATTGTTATACCAGATATCAATGTACCTACAAAACTTTTAATAAGAGTAATGTTTTTAATTGTTATTTGTAATTATTAATTTATTAAATTTATTACTTTACCTGTTGGCTGCACCAGTAACATTTATAAACTCTAAAATGTTTATCCTAAATTGCAATAATAATAATAATAACAACAATAAAGATTCCTTATTTCCTAATTATTTAATAATTTGATGATTTAAATCTCTGATTAATATTTCAATTCCAAAGTCATCATAGTCAATTTTTCATCTTCATTATATTATTAATTTTTTAGATAATACACCATTCTTGTCCAAATTAATTATAATATTAGGTGTATATGGCTGAAATTTCACAAATTAAATAAATATCTTCAAGTTCATCATCTCTAAGGAAATCTGTCTAATTTCTCATGTAAGTTTATATTTATTTATTTTTTTGGAAAAAAAATTTTAATTAATAAACAAATATTTAAATTAATTAAATTCATTAAATTTTTGTTTGTTAAATCACCATGTCACCATCATACTCATCATAATCATTCTCTACTGTTGTTGAAATTAGAAATAGATGATGATGGTTTCTATTTATTAGTGTATACATATGTATATTAAAGCTTTTTCAAATTATTAGTATTTAATAAATAAATAATTACTTGATAAATAAACTAATTATTTAAATTAATTAATTTTAAATATACATTTATCTTTTCATAACTGAATTGTGAATAGACATTTAGAAATTGAATTCCAACTTTTGCATTATTCTTAATTAAAGCAATATCTTATTAAATAAACAATCAAATAAAAAATTTTTATTTTTATATTTTTAAATTAAATAATAGAATTTTCTTCCTTACTTGATTTTAATGAATCATCTTTAGTAATCCCATTAACTCTCTAAGTAAGAATGGTGTGGCACCTTTACCACGAATTTCTTTGTCACTTAAATTTAAAATAGTCAATCAATCGATTATGCTTCTAATTTTTTACATACCATGATTTGATCAATTGCCTGTCACCTGTATTTTATTTGCATCAGCTGGTTCGTGTTCTGACACTGGAAAAGCAATCAGCATACCATTTTCAAGTTTTTTAATTTACATCTAAATATCTGTGGGATCAATAAATGAAATTAAAATAATAATATTATATATTATTAATTAATTAATTAATAATGCTTACATATTAATGATGCACAATCTTCGATTGTTTTCAAATGTGATGGGCCATTTGCAAACTAAATTATCCTTTAACCAACAACATCAGCATCATTGTTATCACGCCACTCTTTGATCCAAAAAATTCCGGAAATCATCCGTTTCTCTAAAAGTTGCCACAATAACACCTCGAATTTCCCATAACCGTTAGATAATGGTGATTATGGTTATATAAATAAATATCCCCAATATCCAGAATCTGCATATACAACAGCAACAGAAGTTCTACTCAATTCTATTGGATCAGCGTTTATTAGATATACTAATAATAAAACGATGAATTATATTTTTAGAAAAATACTATTTTCTCTATGAACACCCCCAATGCCCCTGTGACAAATACTTTGGTGCTTGTTCTATATGCAATCACCATTGTTCCAGAGGAAGAATAACATTGCGTGATGTAACAAAAGCATATCCTTGAACCTTTTCTGGCTTGATGACCTAACTTTGCCAGTTTCTCTAATTCATCCCTTGTCAAACCTAAATAACAATTAAAATTAATCAATCAACCATGTTCATCATCTTTAAGTGCTTATAACAGAAAAGTAAAATGAAATGAAATGATTAAAACTACGCGAATTTTACCATCTAAACATCAATAGTAGTAGGAACACATATTATATTTTCTATTATAATTGCAGTTTCTAAGTTTCGTGGGTAAGGCATTCCTATATTTCAATCAAAACCATATGATCAATTTTTCTAAATTTACACCTATTATATGCGATTCGATGATAATTCTTTACCAACCACGACTTATAATATTGCTACAATTGGCTTATTTGATTCTAATACATCAATTACTTCGGAATCATATATATAATTTATAATTTTTTAGATGAAAATTTTCTTTGGTTCAATGTCATTATTGGCTTGTAGAAATTCTTATTTGACCTAAATATTAAAGGGCGAAGAAATCCATAAAAATTATTATTAATAATAAAAATTTCCGCCCGCTATCAACTTTTTCATTTATTAAGTAATTGAAAAAAGGAACGTTGCTATATATTCTTACTGCGGTCCAAATAAACAATAATAAAATAAAATATATAGTATATATATATATGTTTCGGCAATATATTCAAAATTCCTTGATACAAGATTAAATTCTACTTTACAATCTGGAATGGGTAGGAGTAGTTCCTGTGCTTGTTGTAAAATTTGAAATTGAATGAAACAAATGTGACTGCTGCCGAATCATCCAGTAATCCTACTACTAATTATAATAATAACACTAATTATTGTTATTATAGAAATTTAGGTTTACCACAAAGACTTTGAAGAAAATCACAATAATCAAAAAAATTAGGTAATGAAGTGACAAAAACGAGAAAGCCACAACCTGGTCAATTTTATGATTCGGTTGAGGAAGTGGCAGATGTGGATAAGGAAGCGGCATCTTTTATACACCAGAAAACACAAAAGGCTTTTCAAAACATGTTGCCTAATAATGATATTGAGTATTTGATGGAAAAAACCATTGATCACTTAAAAAAATATATTCTGGATCTACTATAATTAATAATAGTGATCAAAAGAAAAGTAAAGGATAACATAAATGAAGTTAACCGAAAACAACTACAAGTAAAACAAATACGAAAGAACAATGAAAGCCACAATTACAACCAAGTACCAATAAAAAAAGGGATGAAAGGTAAAGACAGAAGATTTTGTGATGGAAGAGATGGATGTCAAACCATCACATCAGGTTTCTCTTTGATGACAAAAAGGAGATAAATTAATGGTGGCGGGTTCTGATGAATCATTAGAATTGTTAGAAATTAAAAAATGGTGATTACATTAAATATCTGGAAACAACATTAAATTCCAAAATGCTTTTTGAAAACTGTATTCTCATTAATAAGACAAAGTCCATCTTATAACTTAGAAAAATAAAAATTTATTTGAAAATATAAAATTGTGATTAAAAAAAATTTCTGATATGATAAAACCACTTTTAAGAAATGGTAATAACATTTTACTATAAAATTTTTAATTTCATGAGAAAAGAAAAAGAAAAAGATAATTAATTAATAATTAATTAATAAAATAATACAAGATAATTAATTGAGCAAGTAGATTGATATAAATACTTTAGAACGAGCTCTCATTTTTCTTCTTTTGCGTTTAAGACGTCTAGTTCTCTTTTTTTTCCACTTTGCTCTCATTTTTTAGCGAGCTAGATTAAAAATAATTTCATTATAATAATCAATGGATGAATGGATAGATTGATCAAATGAATGTAATAATAGTACGTAAACATAAACATTACCTTTTTTTTTAAAGTATATATATTTTTAAAAAAAAATTTTTTGGCAATCTAACATCTTTGAGTAACCCAATTGACGTAAATACCTACCCCACCCTGAATATGCCACGGTGCAACTAAGTGAACTCTTCAAGTAATATACTTTCTTTTATAGGTAAGATATTCACGTCCAACAAAAAACATATGGCCGAAATTTAAAATTTTAGAAGATTAAGTAATCAGGTTTCTTTTATTGGAAAATTTTTATGACGATCATAAACCTTTTAGGAAATCATAAGGGAAGATCATTCAGAAATTTTACAATTACATATAGACATATATAAAATGACCTAACTTTGAAACTCATAACTCAAAACTTATTTAATAAAATGAAAAAAGCAAACCGATGGAAATGTAGCTTAGGTCTTTAGCTTTAATTCTATCAGTTTACTTTTTTCTTTTTCTTTTTTAATAAGGAGTTATGAGCTTTTAAAGTCATATGATAATCATTGACCGTTATAGATGTCCTGCACTATATTAATATTAATATGACAATTCACGTACGCGAAAATTAAATTAATCAATCAAAAGAAATCTCACACCTCCACATTAGCTGGTTCAGTTAACAAGAACAAAAGGTCGGGAATTTTTTTCAATTTTTACTGCAAATTTGTGACCTTAATAATATTAATGTTAATTAATTAATGGATTACCGGTTTGTAACGGGTTAATGCTCATGATGTTGATATTAATACTACCAGGGTTGGTCCATTGATGGTCTATTGGTAGTCCATTGGGTCCATTAATGTAACACTTTAACCATATTTAGTATTTTATTAATGACAATGGACCAGTTAATTTGCCAACCCTGAATATTACAGTATTAATATTAATATTAATGTTAATATTAATATAATAATAATAACGGGTTACTATTACAGTTAGCCTATTACTATTTATAACACCAAATTCTAATAATAGGATACTATTAATTGCGGTTTCAACGAATTTTATATGTAACACGAATTTTTTTTTAGAAACCTTAAACCATTCAAAACTCCTAAATTTCGAATAATTCTAAATTCATAGTTTCGGAAGGCAACTCTAGTTTGACTATCTCCTTTTGACCTAACTGTTAATGTTAAATATTAATTAAAATGATCCACAACGACATTTAAAATTATCAATCACTTTTGACTATTACGATCCGACCATCCAAAATTATAATGTATAATCTACACTACGATTTAATTTCATTTATTCTTATATCTTTGAAAAATTTGTAATATCCCTAGCCTTACATGTCTTCTTGTGTAGTTTCTCTGGCATGATACCAGAAAATGAAGCAAAATTTTTTTGTATGCTCTGGTCCACCGGCAATCCTCTCATTAACCAAAACCCTGCTACCTATATTTTATGTACCTATACCAATATAATTTTTTTTTGATTTCCACGACTTGCAACTATCTCAGCGCTTGCATTTTGATATAACCAGGCCATGGTTTGTGATGCAGATCTCGTAATTTCAAACAGACCCTGCCTGCGCTGGATCGCATCTACACTGATTTTACGAATAGGCTAGGTATGCCCATGAAATATTTTGGTGATCATTGTACTTGCGTAGCAATAATGGATTGTCTTGTCCATCTCCTTGTTTGCAAAATGTTATCTTCCAAGGAAATAAACGATTTATAATAATATAATAAAAACCTAAAATTTAAAACCTGTTCATTTGCATCGAACTGGATAATTCTTGTTTCCAACAAAATTTGCGAAAATTGGTAATATATGATTGATGCCAAGCGGCACTCTGATAATAGTTCTCTGAAATAATCTTCATTCAAGACAAAAAACTGTCACTAAATAGGAAAATTTGTCATATTAATAATCATTTATATTACCAAAAATAAATACAATATAATAATAGAATTGAAAATTAATACTAGACATACAAAGTTTTTACAATCGAATAAACGAAATTATTGATAGTCGGATGAAATTTCCAGCATTATTTGATTTTGCTCGATATTTATCTCGTAACTTATTTTCATTTAACATTTCCCATTATCATTCGAATCAAAGTATACATACTTTATGCTATATATTTCTAACATCGATATTAATTATAATTATCCATCTCAAGGATAATAATTTTTTTGGTCATGATTTTATGTATTTGGTCAATTTCATGAACAGGTTTACAAAAATCACAAGGACATTGTTTCTGCCCCATGAGCTCATCTTGCATTTCGTCATTTAAGAAGGATATTAATGCGGTCTCATTAGTTAGTAAATCCGGATTCCCAAAAAAATCTCAATCAGTTTTATATATGTTTTATAAGTTTTGTAGCCGAAATTTTCTTTGGCACATATTAATATGAAATTTCTCTGATTTAGTTCTCTTCTTAATATGAAAATAATCCTCGTCGTTTAACTCATTGATTTATATAATAATTCGGTAGGACACAAGCGAGCACAAGGGAGACAGACACGCTGAAATTTCGTGATGACATGAATAAATAAAAAAATTACATAGAACAATAATAAGTTACATCCATATACAGTATATCCACGTTGTGTGAAATTCAGCCTCGTATTTGATCGATCGATTACAAGTTATTTTAAAAAAATAATTATTTCAAAGTACTTTGAATAAAATTTCAAGAGGATCTGTTGATCCCCATTTTCGTAATAATTGATATATTCATTGATATTAAGAAATTAAGGACTCGTCTTCGCAATCTTATACTGTTAGATTTTTTTACGAAAAGTGAGCGAGAGAACTAACTATTCATTTATCCGCCTGTGTAATTAGCATGTATTAATAATAATAATAATAATAATAATAACAATAATAACAATAACAATAATAACAATTTTTTAAAATCACATGTTTTAAAAAAAAATTTTAGAAAAATCTGGGGAAACATAAATTGCCAAGAATTTAGCCAAGATTCCTCCTTGCACAAGTTTACTAATTTCGTTAGGAAAAATTCATTAGATTTATCTTTGAGAATTTTATTAATGAAAAGGAGAATTTTGATAATGCCAAGGATTGTCGAATGACATGAAACGTAATATTTAATAAGATCCTTATTTGGACAATTAATTATTTTAAACTAATACATTTTATTTTTAAATTTGAAACTGCATTTCTATTATTATGATTTCCTTTAAATACCAACTTACCTTTTTGTAATAAAAAAATTATTCCTCAGTAAAAATAAAAAGACTTGTATATTATCCTGGTTGATAATACATTCGCTATTAATTAAAAAAGCTGGTTCTTTTTGGATTAACCCACTCCATTTTAAATAAAGCCAAGAACATAAAAACACATTTATATATAGAATAAATATTTACCATAAATTTTAAATTTATAAAAATGATAACAACAAAAAATTCATCATCGATAAAACTTTATTTGTTTTTAATATTAATAATTTCTCAATTAATATTAAACACACATTCACGATGTTACGAACATCCTAACCCTTTAACACGCGAGAGAGTGTGGAATGATTGCCCCATGGTTGAAGAGAAAGTTCAAGATAAATTGTCAACAACAAGTGGTCCAAATATCGGGGATAGCAAAAATATGTTCGACGTTACATTCAGTTGCGGTGTAAGCGATACTGTTTTATGTAATAAAGTTAAGACTGCTTTCATGACAGCTGGTGAAATCATTTCCTCGAGCTTGACTTTGAATACGGTTGTAACTGTAAATGCTACATTCACAGATTTTTGTGTACAAAATGTTGTTGATTGCACTACACAATCCGGCTTTGTTACTTTGGGTAAAATTTTATTTTTCAAAAGATTATTTTTTGAATTGTTGTTTCTTTCTCCATCTCTCTAACAAAATAATAATATATCCGTTTTATTGTAGGAGGGGCATCTCCAGCACGTACAATATTTTTACAAGATGATGATGGATTTGTAAGACTATATCCACAAGCACTAGTCAAACAATTTCAATTTCCAAAACATCCAGCATTTGGTCCATTTGATATATTTGCAATGTTTAATTCTGTCGGGTCAAAATATTGGTTTCAAGGTGATCCTCCAATAACCCCCGACCAACAAGATTTCTTGTATGTAGTGTTGCACGAAATGATTCACGGATTAGGATTTTCGTCAAATTGGCTAAACGATTTCTCAGATGGAATGACTCCTCAGGCATCGTTGAGTGGAACGGATCCAAACACGCCACTAGCTTTTCTTGGATTTATAGAATCGTCATTTGATAAATATATGATAAACATACCAAAAGGAACTCGAATCTCAGTATCAACCGATCAATTAAATAAATTTTCCGGTAAACCAATTCCAATAAGTACCGGTTTACCATTTAAAAATCAAGATGATTTTGTGAATGCATTCACTTCGTCACCAAGCTACAAAATAGCACAAGATATGTTAACATTATCAACAACTCCAAACAGTCTAGGATTTTTAACACATGATATGAATAAAGCTGACGATTCAATAGTGTTGGAGACCTCTTTGACACCTTTCCAACCTGGTTCAAGTGTTAGTCACGTGGATTATAAAACATACAACAACACAAGTGATTTTCTTATGAAGTTTTTAGCAGATCGTGGAACAGATTTAAATACATTGATTACAATCCGCAGTGCTAACAAAACCGATCAAAACGATCTCAGATTAGCGATTAGTTCTAAATTAATACTTCTCTTGGAAACTTTGGGGTAATTTTTTGCGCATAGCTTTATATGTACCTTTATTTTATAATGTATATATGATTTTTTATTAATAATTTTCTTATTTATAACAGATACACAACACCAAATCATCCAAATCCATACAGGCCGACCGTAGACATTACTAGTAATTCCTTAAATTCAACCGATAGTTCTATTCAACCTGGATCAACACCAGCAACAAACACTGATAACACTAATAATACGAAATCAGATTCCATGATAATTAAACCTAACTTAATACTTACATTCACTTTAATAATACTTTCAATATCAATGAAATCAAAATCTTGGCCATAATAGCTATGAGCCATCATAATTGTTGTATAGTCTAGATTTTTTTTTTGCAATAAAATAAATCATGTCAATTTAAAACGGTCCATGGACCATCATTAATCAGCTAAACATTAAAGGCAAGTCTCTCTGCAAAAAAAAGTATTAATTGAAATGGATAAGAAAAAAAAATCTCAATCAACTTGCTAATATAATATTGTATAAAACTCCAATTTTAAAAATAAAAAGGAATGCTTTCCACAATGAGATACAATAGGAATGTTCTTTAATGATAACTTCCAAATAACCTTTTTTTTAAAAAAAAATCTATAAATTCTATTTGTGACAAATTTAATTCAGATATAATTTACTTCGGCACACATGACTAAAATATTCCCGGTGACTTCTTAATAAATTTTACACCACGTGACCCTTCATAAATACAACCTGATTTTTTTTTTAATATGAACATTTATGTCATAGGGAGGGAAGGATCTCAAGAAAATTCCTTCGCGCTTAACACTTCAAGAACTCTTTTTTAAACATAATCAAATTTTAAAATTGAAATAAAAATTTTATCAACAATATTAAAAAAGCTTGCTACTTTACAATTCTAATCAAAACTATCAAAAAATTAAAAAAACTGAATCTTTACCTTCTTCATAAGTGAATTTTTTGTGGTTTGTTAATTGGACTATCTATCTATTTTTTATCTTATTACTATACTATCAAACTTGTAAAAATCTGCCCTATGATACCAACCAAAATATTTGAAATTTAAAAGTTGTATATTTTTTTCTTTTAGTGAAATGGAAATCTACGAATTATGTGGTGGAGAAAGGATGGAAAATTGCTGCCTTCATTGCAAAAAACTTCCATCAATCCAGAAGGAAAATCAATGGAGGAGGATATAGAAGATGAAGAAGATACTAATATTAGCAATAGTAATAATATTATAGAATAGATTTACATCAGGGTTGGCCAAAGAATAGATAACACTCAACAATGGCCTCCTTCCCATGCAATTGCTCTAATGGTTTTTATCTTATATTTAATATTTAATATTTAATATTTATATCATTAAAATCATCATGTATTTTTTTCTCTTGGTTGAATCAAAACAAATAAAATTGCTTATCGTTTGTTATTTAATCCTTTCCTTGAACATGAAGACTTTTGTCACCACGATTGTATATGTTTATTAGAATATTCATGATAATTAATAAATAAACAGCTTCAAAAAATTATTTTTCCTTAATCACAAGTTGCTATTCCCAAAAAAGTAAAATGAATAAATATCATATTGATCATATGTAATTGTTGTTTGATCCCACCTACACTTAATATTACGTGTGGGTTATTGTCAACATATGGTGGTGTTGGATTTGATCTATAGGTGCAGGATAATATCCATGTATCTGATCATCGGTGTTAAATTTCCTCCATCAAAATCATATATATCTATGGATTTTTTTCCACAGGTGAGACCTCCTCCCCCTATACGTCTACAGTCTTCATAAAATTCCAGAGCCACGCAACTTCCCCCCCCCCCCCGAATTTAAACATCCTCGGGGGTGCAGGTCAGATTGTCTTATGTACACGAAGAAGAAAATGATTAAAATATATTTCAGCATCTACAAGTTTCCATCCTGTTAAATTGTCCAAGCACGTACAGTTTCCATATGAGAGGAGGATCTTCAACAGTTGTGTTGAAATTTCTAATAATTATTTAAAATTAATGATGATTATACAAATTGATAAAAGAATTACCCATAGTGTAAAAGACATGACAAGCCTTGCATTTATACACAATATTTAGGCTATTTGTAAAAAATACATTCTCAAAACCATACCAATGTTTATTAATGAATGCTCCAAAAAAAAATTTAAGACGTGTAGAGAAAATAATTTTTATTGATGTGTTTATAATGCTCATTAGGAAGAAGAATTACTTAAAAGATTTATTATCTTAGTCCATGTACCAAGTCCATTTATTTGGTATTCAAGATGAAACAGTAAGGAAACAAACTAATTATGTTCTTAATGAAGATAAAATTATAGGAAAATGTCCCAATGGACACTTAGTATGATCTTTGATGGATGGAATTAAGAAATTCAATAGAGGTTAAGATTGCCTGCGACAATGATGCTGAACAAAATCAAATAATATTAGTAATTTGTGCCAAATTTAAGGTTTGGTTTAATGTTGTAGATGTTGTGAAAAGGCCTAGCCAACATTGCTGGATTGAATTAAACTCAATGCTATGAAGCAGGAAAAGGCCTTAAATACTTTGATATTAATTCTATTTTGGGAATTTATTTTTAAAAAGTTAAATGGTCTGCAAAAATATCAACATTTTCTTTTTGAAGCATCTAATCCTGGTGTTGTCAAACTTGGGATGTTGCTAATGGATCTTTTGCTGAAGTCAATTTATTAAAAATTAGGAAGAAATTATAACACACACAGGAAGGAAGAGGAAAAGGTTGATGGTAAGTTGATTATTATGATTAGCAGTTATAATCTTATTATTCAGTATCATAGCTATTGTTGTTTATTATTTGGCTAAAAAGGACTAAAAAGAAAAAAAAAAGATTTCTTTTTATTTGGTAATTAGCTCACTTTCATTCTGCTTTCTTTTCCTAATGTTTATTATTTTTCTCCTTCTTGGTAAATTTCATAAGTAGTTTTCCCTTTCCTTGAATAAATTTCAAGTGCTTGAATGGCAGCCAATTTAAAAACATAAGGAGCCATTTTTTCACCTTGCTATTTCTTCTGATAATACTGCAGTTCTTGGGTTCTGTGTAAGGTTGCGGGTGAAACTCCTCCAGAAATCAATCGACAGAGTTTCGACATGTTACACATTAATTGTTTATTAGAGTTTTCCCATTTGGGGGTTTTGTCAATCTTCAGAGTTTTGACAAGGTATATACCAATTGTTTGACAGAGTTTTGACAGTTTCGGCAAGCAACCTTAGTTCTGTGGTAGATCTGGTGTAAATTAGTTCCATCTTTATTATTTTTATAATAAGAGTAATACTACAATACTATATACCACTCAAAGAAAACAAAGACAATAAATAGGACATTGTTAACATCATGCTAGTAATAAAATAGTGATGTTAAAACAATGTTGAACCCTGAAATCCTTTGTAGTACAAATGTTCACTTTTTGTTGAGTTTTGTTTGCAGCATGCCCCATATATATAATTATAACGGAAAGTACAATGGACCTTGATATTAATGGAAACACAAATATTTTGATTGTATGATATGCAATTCATTACCTGATTAGAATATAAATTACATGCAATCACACAAGATACTGAAGTCATTAAAAGAATATAAATTATTGTTAAATTTATGCAATATTCAACCAACAATGGATAAAATAAAGTGAGAAAAAGAAAAAAAATTTTCGCTAGGAATCTTTTTTTAAAAAAATCTACCAAAAAAACTTTTTTCTTTTTTTTTTTTTTTTAAAGAATTAAGAAATTTAAATATTCTTTAAAAAAATCAGGCGCAGGGAACAAATAGCTTCATTTGGTAGATGAAGGAGGATATTTCGGTTTTTGATTTTTCGTCATCATCATGATTTGTTATTATGAAAATTCGCCACTGATTGTTACTCGAAACGTCCAAAGTTGGTTCAACTTCTTTACTTTGTCATCTAATTGGCCATATATTATGTGAAACATCATGGCAAATACTTTTTACAATATTATAATTTATTCTATTATTTATTATTATTTATTATTTACACAATTAATTATTACAATAATATGAATTGGTATAATAAAATCTGCTTATCATTAAATTTTGTTTACTAATATATTTTTTTTGTGCTGAGCGTCTCTCCTATTTTATCCAGCTTTCCCCTTAATTTAATTTTTGCTACTCTCTACCACTCAATATACACTTTATACTTCCCCTGTACTTCGCGGGAGTTCGAAGGCGGAAACTTGAAAACTTTTTATATATATACATTATTTAGAAAAAAAAATAACAGCAAAAAATAAAACTAAAAAAATAATAATTTCTCTTTTTGATACATAAATATAAATTAAAATATAATTTAAATATAAATTTAAATATAAAGTGCTTTTTTTCTTTTTTTACGTACAAGAAAAACTTTTATATTATATATACACGCTTTTTTATATAATTCTTTTTTTTTAATTATCTATAAGCAGTTATTTATTAAGAGGAGATCCAACCAAAACTGTGTAAGTTCCATTACAGTCAAATTGCAAATGTTTGTAATTCAACACTAATTATTTTCTTTTTTTTCTTTTCGATTTTTCTCCTCATCTTACACTTTATAGATAAAATATTTTATAATCTTTTCATCTTTAAACCTTCATAGAAATAAATATATATAAAAATGACTGAAAACAAAAATAACATTAGAGTAGTGTGTCGTTTTCGTCCACAAAATTCTCGTGAAATAAGGGAAGGTGGTGTTCCCATTATATCATATGATGAAAATGGAGAAACATGTCGTATGGAGGTTAGTAAAAACATAACGTTTAACGCATAAAAACACATAATGAATAATGTTTAATATGTGAATGATTGGTTTTTTGATATAATTAATTAATTACTTTATTGTAACAATAGCGTTAATAATTAATTAATTAATAAAAAATCTTTTAGGGTAAAGAATTTCAAGGAAATTTCACATTCGATTGTATCTTTCCACCAGAAACTCAACAAAAAGTAGTATTTGATGAATCCATAAAACCTATTGTTGATGGCACGTATAATTATTTATTTATGCATATTATTTATTTTATTTATTTTTGCTCCTTGCACACTAATAATATAATTTGCTACTTCTACAGATGTAATTTCTGGTTATAATGGTACTGTATTTGCTTACGGTCAAACTGGTTCTGGTAAAACGCATACTATGATGGTAAGCTATTTAAGTGAATAAAATAAACGTTTTATTTTTCTACCTCAATTGTATAATAAAAATTGTTCTTTCTCTATTATTATTATTATTATTATTATAGGGAGATATGGATAAAGATGATATGAAAGGTCTTATTCCACGTATTGTTGAACAAATTTTTCATTGTATCATTGCCTCTCCACCAACAACTGAATACACAGTAAAAGTATCATATATGGAAATCTATATGGAAAAGATTCGTGATTTACTTAATCGTATGTATTATTATTGTTGTTATTTATTTACTTTATAAATTTATTCTTTTCTCTTACACACAAACAAACTCACTATATATATATATTCATTAAATAGCACAAAATGATAATCTTCCTATTCACGAGGAAAAAAATAGAGGTGTATACGTCAAAGGATTATTGGAAGTTTATGTCAGTTCCATTGAAGAAGTTTACGAAGTAATGAAACGTGGTGGTAGTTCTCGTATTGTTGCTTATACAAGTAAGTTATACACAGCTTCTAATAAATTATTAAAATAATAATAAAATAATAATTTAAAAGATAATTCTAATTTTATTCATTTTTTTTTATTTTATAATAGACATGAATGCTGAAAGTTCACGGTCACATTCCATCTTTGTGATCACAGTTGGTCAAAAAAATCTTGCCGATGGTAGTGTTAAAAGTGGTAAATTGTCACTTGTAGATTTAGCTGGTTCTGAAAAGGTATATTTAATTAATTAATTAGTTAATGTTGATGTCAAAACAATATGTTATTGAATGATATTTGTAAATATAACCCATTATTAATTATCATCTCTCGCCCATCTTTGTTCCGTTTTAGGTCGGAAAAACTGGTGCTTCTGGTCAAACTTTAGAAGAAGCTAAAAAAATCAATAAATCATTATCTGCTTTGGGTATGGTCATTAACGCTTTAACTGATGGCAAGGTAATCAATCAATCAATTCCTATCATTAATTTTTTTTACATGAATGATCTATGACTAATTAATTAACAATATCTTTACAACAAAAAAAAACCACTTATATATAGTCTACTCACATTCCATATCGTGACAGTAAACTTACTAGAATTCTTCAAGAATCTCTTGGTGGTAACTCTCGAACAACTTTGATTATCAATTCTTCACCATCATCATTCAATGAGGCTGAATCTTTAAGTACTTTGAGATTTGGTATGAGGTAAGCATGCTAACAGAAATATATATATTATATTTACATAATGATATTGTTTTATTATCATCATCATCATTCTCATTCTTATTGTGATTTTATAGAGCCAAGTCCATCAAGAATAAAGCTAGAGTTAATGCAGAATTAAGTCCAGCTGAGCTTAAAGCTCTCCTTAAGAAAGCCAAAAACGAAGCAGTCACTTTCCAACAATATATTACAGCTCTCGAGGGTGAAGTTGGAGTTTGGCGTAAAGGTGGTAACGTTCCAAAAGAACAATGGGCTTCAATGGATAAAGTTACATCTGGTGCGGTTACTACTGCATCATCACCAACAAATCCTTCAGTTGATGCCATTAAGAAAGATGCTGAAGTTACCGATTCTAGACCTGGTACCCCAGTTCCAATACTAGAGAAAGACGAGCGTGAAGAATTTTTGAGAAGAGAAAATGAACTCACTGATCAAATCGCTGAAAAAGAAACTATATTGGCTGATCAAGAAAAATTGATTGCTGACATAAAAGAAGAATTGAACGAGTTCAAAGATCGTGAACCAACTATTACAAAGGTAATAAATAATTATGATATTTATGGACTATATTAAAATATGATGACATGTTAATAATAATAAATGAAATATTGATATTAATAATAATTAACAAATTTTCTAGGAAAACAAAGAAATGGCATCAGAACTCAATGAACTTAAATTACAGTTGGAGAAAGTTACATATGATAATAAAGAAGGTGCTATTACTGTTGATAGTTTACGTGAAGCCAATATTGAATTAAATAATGAACTAGAAGCACTTAAGGTATGCATATGTTTGATATATGTGCGTGCGTATCATTATTAACAACAATATTTATAATAATAATATCTTGTTTCCCGCCCAAATACAAATAGAAATCGCTTATAGAACTTAGAATGGCACAAAAAGAAGGCGACAAAGAGCAAAAGAAACAAGAGAAGATGGCACAAATGCTTGCTGAACTTGATCCATCTGGAGTTATCTCGGCCAAGGAGAAACAAATTCGTGACACATTACTTAAACTCGAGTCGATTGATGGTAATAACACCACAACATTAACTCTCGAAGAAATCACAGCATTACGTCGCGAATTATCTAACTCTAAGTCATTGGTGGAGCAACATGAACAAACAATTAACGAATTACATTATGAAAATGAACATTTAACCAGAAAACGGGATGAACTTGAAATTCGTCTTACAACTTTAGAACTTGAGTATGAAGAACTTTTAGGTATAATTTATTATAATATATATATATATTTTTTAAATGGATGTTTATTAAGTGTAAAATGAATATACAAATATATAATATATAATAATCTATTTTGTGAACAGATAAAACAATTGCTGAAGAAGAAGCAAACAATAACATTGATATTACTGAAACGATAGCAGAATTAAGAGTAGGTTTATCGGATAAATTAATAAGATTATATTTTATATTATAAATAATTTTATAAATATATTTATAAATATATTTATAGGGTAAATTGGAATCACAATTTGTCGCCAAGAAAGAAGTACAACAAAAAGAAATAGATGAATTAAAACAAGAATTGGAAAAGAAGAATGAAGAGTTACATAAACTCAACAGGTAAAAATCAAAAATGATCTTATATATATCTATCTATATTTTTAATAATAATATTTTTCTAACGAATAAATGTATAATTTTAATTTTTATAGTGCACTTGCAGATTTGAAGAGAGCCAATGAAGAATTACAAGTAAAGTGTCACGTAATTATTTTAAACATAAAATCATTTACTTTTCAATAAAATAATTAAAATCGATTATTTATTTCTCTCTCTCCCCCTCTCTCAAATTTTATAATAGTCTGCAATTTCTAGTCAAGAAATTAAACCAGATGGCAAAAACGTTGTTGAAAAAGAAAAGGATATGGAAAGAATCCGTAAAACAATGGCGCAACAATTGTCCGATTTTGATGTCATGAAGAAGGCCCTTATGAGAGATTTACAAAATCGTTGTGAAAAAGTTGTTGAACTCGAAATTTCATTAGATGAAACTAGGGAACAATATAACAATGTTTTACGTAATAGCAATAATAAAGCACAACAAAAGAAGATGGCTTTCTTGGAAAGAAATTTGGAACAACTTACAAATGTACAGAAACAAGTAAGTAGTGGTTTTAAGAGATATGTTGAATAATACATAAGCGTAAATTTATATTTTTATACTAATATTTATTATTTATTTTTTAGCTTGTAGAACAAAATTCTTCACTAAAGAAAGAAGTTGCCATTGCTGAAAGGAAACTTCATGCAAGAAATGAACGTATCCAGGCTTTGGAAACTTTACTGCAAGATGCACAAGAAAAACTCACAACACAAAATCAAAAGTAAACGTCTATTTATTAATTAATTTTGTTTTATCTTTTCGCGAATTATCGATAATAATAACAATATGCTAATTAATATCCATCCACTTTAATCCCATTCAAAAGATTCGAAGCTCAGTTACAAGCAGTTAGAGAAAGATTGGAACAAGCAAGATGTAAGTCGAAAATATATTTGTTTAAAATAATGATAAATATTTCAAGTCGCATAAACACACTAAACTTATTATATAAAATTACTCCAAATTTTTTTAGCCCAAAAAAGTAACACACTTGCTTTGAACTTTGGACGTATTGCTAAACCTCTCCGGGGTGGCGGTGGTGTTGGTAAGATTTTTAATAAAAAATTATAAAATCATATATATGTACATTAATAAAGAATGAACGACTTTGTTAACATTTTAACTTTTTTAATAATTTTTAAAACGTCAGGAAATTAGGAAAGATAATTTGAGCTTGTGATCTGTAATCCTATCAATTGTGGAAATAATTTTAAATTTTTAAATTTTTAAATTATTTGTAAGATTTTTATTGCGTGTTTTCCTATATATATAATATATTTATTTATTTATCGTAAATTGTAAACTTAGTTTTTTTTTTTATCAAAATAAATTAGTATATATTTATTAGTAAAAGATTATTATTAGTTTATTTGGATAATTTTTTTTTAAAAAAAAATAATAATAACGTAGTATTAACAAAAAAAACTCTTTTTTTTAAATTTCGTTAAAATTCGAGGTTTTTTATTCGTTTTCTTAGATTGTTCGAAATCACACAAACACACAAAATTTAATTTGTATTTAATTTGTAGTTTATTTTTTCTCGTAGGGCTTTTTAAGTTTTTTTTTATTTGGTTGTTTCTAATTGAATTTTTTATTAGATTTTATTTATTTTGGTTTCTTTTTTTTTTTTATGTTGTTTTTTATGGGTTTTATGATTTTGGACGAAATAAAAAATTTTTTTTAAATTTTTAAAAAATCAACCGTGTTTCCCCCCAAATTAGACAATTACGATGACGACAACGACGATTATTATAATGATGATGATGATTAAAAATATTTGATTGTAATAGAATTCGGCCTTGATCTTTCTTGATAATTATTTGATTTGATATTAATTATTATTATTATTATTATTATTATTATTATTATTATTAGTTGAATCAATCAAAAAAAAAATAATATTTTTACTTTTCTTTGATCTTTTCGGTTCAACTATTGTCGATAGTTTGAAATTTTGCTAATTAATTATCATATCTTTGTTATTTTTTCATTTCAAAAAAAGAACAATACGAAGAAAGAAAGACCCCAAAAAACTTTTATTCAAATAATACAAAATAAAGAAATAAAAAAAAAGATTATTTCTTTTTCGTTCAACAAAATCGTGTTTGTTCGTGTGTGCGAGTGCACGTATGTATGTAATAGTTTATTTAATTTAATAAAGTATATTTAATTAATCATAATCAATTATTCTAACGTGGAAAAAGAAAGGAGAACAAAATTCATTTATTATAATGATTTCAGTTTCCATGGGTCGTAAACAAGGAAAAGTGAAATTTTTCAATTGTCAAAAAGGCTATGGGTTTATTATTCCTAACGAAATTATCGGTGATAATAGTAAAATAGAAGGTATGAAATGTTGTTGTTGGATTGGAAGGAATCGGAAAAAACGTTATAAAAAAAAATTTACGTGATTTATTTATTTGTATATTTTTTTGTAAACATATATAAAGAAGTTTTTGTGCATTATTCTTCGATATATAAAGATGGAGAATTTAAAAGTCTTGCAGAGGTAATTTTTAATTAATTAAATTCTTTGAACCTTCTCCCTCTCTCATTTTTATTCTTCCTCCTGGTCTAACTAACGATTTAAATTAATTTATGTGTAAACTAAAATGTGTTAAAGGGCGAAGAGGTAACTGGAACTGACTGACCAACTAACCATATTAGTCAATTACATATACGTAAATTTGTTATGATTCGTTATTAATTAATGATATCAATATATTACATTATATATTATGGTTCAAGGTTGAATTTGAATTGATGCGAGGACCTAAAGGATTTCAAGCTACTAATGTTAGTGGCCCAAATGGAATTTCAGTTAGAGGTGCTGCACCTAGTCAACAACAACAAATCAAAAGGTAATTATTATATTATATAGTTTGAATAAATTGAATGGAATTTAATTTTAATTTTATATATTTGAAATTTATTTAGTGCAAATTACATTGGATTTAATTCAAAATATTTAGATCAAAACAATTATAATAACAATACTGGTAAAAGCTTAATTTATTGTATTCATTCATTCTTTTAGGTAAACAGTGAATGGTGAATGGCAAATAGTAAATAGTAATTTATTTTATATATTAATATATTCCTTTAAAAATTAAGGTTTTAATGCAGCAATAGCAATTGGACAACCTTATTCAAGTTTTCATTCTACTTTTATACCTCAATCAGTAGTATCACAACGAAACACATCACCAACTTTAACATCACAGCCTCAACAATACCCTCAAAGATATTCTCAAAACCTTCATTCTAATATTCATCACCATCAACATCCACCGTCACTACAACATTTGCCACAACATCTTCCAACAAACCATCATGTTCATATTCCACCATCGCTATCACCACCATTACCTCGTCCTTCCTCACATTTAATTCACTCTCACACTCATTCATCATCACTACCATCATCATCACTTCTTCATCACCCATCGGTTCCAGTTCCACCAACACTAGAACCTCATTACACCACCGCCATCGCTTCTTCTCCGCAATTTACTAATTATCCACAACATATTCAAACCTTTCGATCAACAGTAATCCCACCATCTCAATATAATCCCGATAACAACAACAATAATAACAACAACAATAATAATAATAATAGTAGTAATAATAACGGTAATAGTGGTACCGAGAATAATCTTAATCTTAATCTTAATCTTAATCTTACCACCAACACTACTACTAATGATAATGACAATATGAATGCTACTACTGCCACTGCTATAAATTATCACCACAACACTCTATTGAAAGGGGGAGTTCCAACACCGACTAATAATGATAATAACAATACCACACCAACAATGTTTGGAATTCATCATTGAAGAGAAATCTTTTTTATTGTCGTTCGTCACCATCCAATTTCATTAGTATTGATCTCAGAAAAAATCCCCGATTTTGACGTACAATAACAAAGATATGTTTTTAAAAAAATTATGACTTTTAGTATTATTTAATTTTTTTGCTTAGATTTATTTGGTGTGATTAGTTTTTTAATTAATTTTTTTATTGCTTTTTTCAATATTTGAGTTAGTATATTATTATTAGTGTTAAAAGTATTACAAGTATAATATGTTAGTTTTTATATTAATTAGTTATCAGTGTAATGGCGTTTTTTTTTCTCTTTCCTTCACGACGAGATAAAAATATAAATTTTGCATTATTCATCTCTTGGTCACGCAGAATTGTACTAATATTTATCATCGGAAGTAATCTATTTCCCCACATCTTTATGAATTTTCCGGGCCATTATTAGAACAAAAGACCTGAGGCACTTTTGTTTCTTAAAATGGAGATCACCCATTACTACTTATTATTATTAGATGAAAAAAATGAACGTGAAAGAAGAGATTTTGTTTGTTTCACTATTACTATTACCATCTTTAAAAGAAAAGATGCAATAATTAATGTATGTACGTACACACATAACAAAAAAATTAACTGATAATAAAATTAACTGAACAAATCAATTTCTTTCTTCTCATTTTTATTTATTATTTTTACTCGTAATTTTTTTATGTGACAAATAAAATTTTAAATTGGATTTTGAATGAATGCAAATTTGAAAAAATAACGTGGGGAAGAAAAATTAAAAATTAATATTGATATTAAATATTTAGTGTTTATGTTTTTGTGTAAATCAAATTAATTTCATTGAAAACTTAAAAAATTGGAGGTTACAAATAATAATAAATTTTTAAATAATTAAATAGTAAATAGTAAAAAAGCAAAATGTATTTATTTCTTATGATTTGAATAATGCCTAAAAAGAAACATAGGGAGAAAATGGCGTGTGAGGAGATGAAGATCAACTAATCATAATTATATTTTAAATAAATCCATTAACATCAATGATGCTGATGATATAAGTTGGTGTGTGTGAAAAAATTGTATGATTAAAATAAAAATCGTGGAGAAATAAAGAAAATAGTCCGATGTGCAATTGTTTCGGAGAATTTTTTCATCCCCTCCTCATCCTTATTTTTTACTCTCGCTTTCTTGATTCATTTACACATCAAACTAGGTAAGATGGCGGAAGATCTAGATTATATCTGTGTAATAAATAATCGATATATGTGATGATTGCAAAAAGATGATGTTTTATTTATTTATTATTAATTCACATGTGTGTTTATGAAATTTTAGGCGAAAAGATACAAATCTTATCATGTTAATATCTATCATTACAAAACCTACTTAATTAGGGCTTATTGAAAAAAAATTTCTGTCGCATACGGGCGTGCTGAACATTATGTCACAAAGAAATTTCAGGGACCAAAATAGCCAACATCACAATTGTACTACCAATATATTCGATATCCCCGGGAGTAATAAATCCAAAATTATAAATTCAATAAAAAGATTTAGTTTTTTTCCTTCTGACTTGTTTTCAATTTGTTGATGAGATTTTTTTTAGATGGTGGTAAGTTGTCTATGCCTTTGATTTATTCTCTTTTTTAATTAACATGTAATTATTACGTTATTTGATTGTTATCACGATCATCTAGTTAATTAACAATAAATTTTTTGCAGTGTTGGACATTGGGTAACATCCAAGCTAGTAAGACTATTTCTATCCGTATATGTCCCAGTGAGATTAATGTTTTTGCTTAAATTGATGGATATGAATGATTTCCTTGTAGGAACAATATAGAGTTTTTAATTTTGGGTTCTTGCTTGAATCTAAGATAGCGGTTTATTCCCTCAGCAATGTAAATTCTTCAACTCTGGATTTTGCTTACGTCAATATATTCAATCTAATTACTGGAAATTTAAAGAGTGTCTAATTTGGAACAATTACTAATGTCTAAACCGATTAACTTGTTAAAGAGAAAGTCGAGCATTTCTAGATTGGGGAAGTCATGCAAATCTAAGAAGAAATCTTCTCATTTTATATCAGGAGCACTTACCTAATAACTTAGTAGCGCTTGCTCTTTTTCTCATTTGGAAATTTCGGTCCAATTATTAATGTTTCAGGCTTGTTATAATATTCTTCATACTCTCAATTAACAAAAACTTTGTTTATATTTGATTAATTGTATATATACGCTTTCATTCCCTTGGGATAATTTTATCATTCTCGGAATTGCTACAAATGTAAATAGCTTTACTGTGGCTCAATTTATTATAAATAAAAAATAATAATATATCAAGTATATTGGTTAATATTTGATATTGTTAACCGCACAGACTGACGGTTCAACAAATGACCTCTTGAATCTCAAAGGCATATTTTAATATCATTTAAGAATTTCGACAACATTTAACATTATCTTCAGATACTTTCAATTTCTTAATTCCATCAAAATCCATACCAAGTGTGTCATTAAGGCTCTTTCCTAGCAATTCATCTTCATAAAGAACATAGTTAACTTGTTTCCTTACTGCTTCATCTTGAATATTAAACAGAAGAAATTTGCAAGAACTAAGATGATAGAATATGTGTTGATTAGAATGTGATACATGTAACTATAATGAACTAAAACATCAACATTAATGAACAACTAGTTTTTTTTGTTCTTCGGCTAATTTGGATTTTTTAATAACAACTTCTCTCTCTAATTTTGCTTTTGATAGATGATATTTATAAATTTTTTGTCTTCGCAAGCATTATAATGGAATGTTGACGGGCGTCACATGGTCTCATATGTTGAATCTGTGGAGTTGATTGGTGTCATAATTTGCAAAAAGCGTCATATTTTAATGACCTCAACATACCATCTTCTTCAATGCCAGCAAGGAAATCTTTCTGAACTGATTTATGGCTCATTTCTGCTGGTATGAATATAAATGGTTCAGTTAATTGATTGAAATTTCTTCTGGGGCTTGGGAATACATTGACTTCAACATAGTTTCCAAGAAAACTTCTTTACTACTCAGCAACGTTTTCATCAATCGATTGATTACCTTTTCTGATTTCCATTGGGGCATTCTTTTGGTATCATTTTTGACATAAGATCATTATTTATCGGATGATTTTAATATTTTCAAAATAAGTTTTGCTAATTTCCAGCATGTTTGCTGACAGAGAGGCATCTCTTGATCTCTGCAATAAATATCATCCTTGTTTTCTTTTTGATGCGTTTACTAGTCCAGTTGATCCATTAAGAAGATATCTTGCTCCAATTTAGGAGTGCTTGAAAGGATTCACATAATTATGCAAACCTTTCTTTTGGAAACTTTCTATTTTATATTGCGAGCTGCGTTTAAGTTTAGTTAGCAAATATTTTATTGTCACAACAGTAATTCCAGCAGAATCATAGTTTTAATTAATTATTAGAGTGGCAATGCAATGGTAAAGAGTCTTGGTGATATTAATGAATTGTGTTAAAAGATACATTTTATTCTTTAATCTGTATCTTTGCATCTAAAGAAAATGTTTATGTTTTTTTATTCGACTTTTTTATAACAAACCTCAATCAAAGCTAATGAAATCTACGTCAATGATGTTTTACAGTAACCAATTCAAAGAGTATTGTTCATTTTCAAACCCTTTTTGTCGCCTTGATTATGTAAGAACTCGCAAATTATATGCGTTACTAATGCTTAAACTTCTTTTAGAGTTCCCAAATTTTTAAAATTCCTTATTTGTATTACAATATAGAATAAAAGAAATTTATTAAAAAGACTGCCTATATATCAAAATTACTAATCGCGTTTCAACATGTGAAGCAAAAATTTTAAAAATTCGTTGTCATTGAGACAAGGTTTGATAAAAAAATATTAAACTTATACCATTGTGTATATATAGCTTAGGTTTATAATCCTAGAACATATCAATAAAAATTTTTAATTTTAATGGCTAACAAAAAATTTTTTTCTTTCCCATTTACTGCAGTTACTTAATTTTTACCATAAATACATACAAGGGCTTAAAATCGTGAAAAATCACATGCTTATTTTTGATAATATAAGCTACAAACAAACTAATGTAAATTTCTTTTTTTTATCATTTACATAAAATTTTTTATTCTTATTTATTATTTTATGTTTTATATTTCACGTATTTTAAATCATAATGATAACGTTCTGCTATGTTAATAAATTCCTTTCCCATATGTAAAATTGAAAAATTTTCAATCTTAGCCCCCGTCTTTAATGTTATTATTGCATATGGATTGTGCTGTTGTAGTAGGTGAAGAACTATATTTCCTTTATTAAATATATTAAAAACATATAAATAAACGAAAGAAAAGACAATTTTGTTGACTGAAATTTAAATTTCCTCATTATTATGCATATTGTTGTTATTATAACTTTTATATAGGGACCTAGTGTGAGGAAAGTAATTCACCCCTGTGAGGTCAATTCTATAATAATAGTCCAAAAATAAAAATAAAAACTTCCTTGACATGTAACAGCAGCATATATATCTACATACTTTGAATGCTTGCGTTACGAGAAAATTATATCTTTCCTGCTCGTGCGTTCTGAGCATCATAAAAATTTTTATATGGCTTCGCATTTGAAGGATATGCAGTTCCATCGGATCTACCTGCATTTGCAATCTGACTTGTTATCAATTTTTTGCAATGCCTGAATGATATTATTACCACCAAAATATCAAATGAATTACTCTAAGCAACGATGCCATTACAACACAACAAAGAAAAAAAAACTTATGGCTTATAACTAATATTAGAAAACTTTGCGTGAATATATGCTGTCGTGTACTCTTCACCAGACTTTCTATTTTTTAAGGGATTAATATTCTCAGCAGGTTTTGGTGTACTTTGAAGATATTTCATCTTTTCCCAAAAAGTCTTGATCATCGCAAAATCACTTGATTTCGACATGTGTAACGTAAGATCTGATTGGGCACTAATTTGATTGGCTACGAAAACATGGCAAGAGCTTTATTAACTGGTGATATAGTCTCCAAATGATAGGATAATACTGTCGTTTTTGTGATTTAATATATGGGAACTTTTCAATGGAAACGAGTACAACTCACTCAGGGTCAATAACATTACAAATTATGGATGATTCTTAATCACACCTCCTTTTTTAGTATTAGTATAATAATAAGACAGTTATATTTCTACCCAATCAAAATGAAGAACAAGGTTTCTAGTGGTGTGACAAGAGTTGAAAAATAACAGTTTTTGGATCAAAGTTCTCAGAATTGTCCTCGCTTCTATCAAAAAGGCCCATATAGCACGATGTTGTATCCGGATGACAGTTTTGTAGATACCCAAAAATTTATTTCAAATATTAAAAATATACAAAATTACAACGAATTTTAAAAACCAATTATTCGTTTATATGACGTGAAAAAGCATGAATCATCCGCAAGACAAGTCAATTCTGTTATGAGGAACAACTTTTACTTGGTACACAATATTGGTTATTACACTAGTTTTTGTGTTTTTCAAAGACAAGGCTAAAAACACAAAAATACACTTATTTCATCAAATCCCAATTGGTTATCTGAAATAAATCAACTAATATATAAACGGTTTTTTAAATATGAAGTTCACGAAGCAAAATAAATACAAGTTTTATTTTTTTCTGTGTAATTGAATGGATATCCATCGGGATACCCAGATGCTACCCGATTATCTAGATATCAGATTTATTTGAACGGATAATTGGTAGATATATGAATATAACCACTAATACTAATTATCCATCCTAATAGATAATTTTAATATTATATACAAACTCAATAATTTTTCCATAATTACTGTTTTATCCCTTATATGTCATTTAATGACAATAATTAAATCGTTCATTAAAAATAATATATACACATAAACCACTACTTCTAATAGTTCAAATATCTACCGTATAGTCCCGTCTCTACTTTAAAACAATTGAAAATTATTTGTTACACGGTATAAATGATTGTAAAAAGGGGATGCTATCTTTCGGACTATTGACAGGTAAAGGTTTTTTATTCTATATATGAAATTTTGTGTAAAATAAAATTACAAGATCTCTAACAAAACCCCACTAATATATTTTGAGATTCAGAACTGATTGTTATTATTTGTAAGATTTTTAGAATTTGGTCGAATCTTTTTTTTCTATAACAACTATTTAAGTTACAACAAGCAGTGTATGAAATTACATATCGGAAATCACCTAATCAGACCTAAATTTGTACTAGTTACACGACGAAAAACATGGATAACAAGAACCAATTAAAATCATGTAGATCGTTATAGAATTAATATATTTTTCCGCAAAATCATCGCGATCTCCAATTTAGTTTCTAAATGTGCATACCAATAAAATTTTAAAATACATTGCAACAGAAAAAAATTACACGATTATGGGAACAATTACATATATTATGCTGGTGAAATTCCAAAAGCAAAGAAAAGAATCCGATGTGGAATTGTTTCGGATAATTTTTTATTTTTACCCTCCCTCATCTTTATCCTTCTCGCTTTCTGATTTACACACGTGCAATTATATCTACGTGATGATTGCAAAAGAATGATTGATGTTCACGTGTATGTTTATATTTTTCTAGATTAAAATCTTTAGGCGAAAAACAATCACCTTAATTATTTTATTGACCTAGTTGTAATCATCACATTTTTTATTTATCGTTACAACAACTTGCTTAATTAGGATTCATTGTTTTTCCCAAAGAAATTTTTTTTTCTCTATAGCCGACAACGCACATCATATCATGCCACAGAAAAAATTTTAAATAATGTAAATATTGTTTTAAAACTTTTTGGGTTAATGTTAAATAAAAAGTTCAATGTTTCATTGTCATTATTACTTGTTTATTCCTTTTTCTTTTTATCTTAAAGGGGTGGGTGATTTTAATTAATATTAATTAACTGTTAATATGAAAGAAAAAAAATTAATATTATTCAATTTGTACAACAAAAATTTTTTTTTTTGGAACTCTCAAATTCCAAATTCTCAAATAAAAAAAAATGAGAATAAGAAAAAAGGTTACATTATAAAAAAAGAATTATGGCGACTAGTCCATTATAATAATATTTACATCACGTGTTGTCGAATTTTTACACACGTCAAAAAAAAAATTAAACACGTAGAAAAACAATCAACACTTAATATTTGTCATTGTTCTCGGATTTTTTTTTCTTTAAAAAAAAGCAAGTGTTTTTTATTATATTTTTTTTTTTTAATTTAAATTAATAATCAAAATTTTTGAGTTTTTTTGTTTTTTTTTGTTTTAATAAAGTAGGAATTAAAAAGCATAATTTTTTTTAAAAAAAAGTAGAAATTAAAAAAGTTTTTTTTTTTTTTTTTTAAAATAACCAAAAAAATAAAAAATACAAAAGAAAATTTACAATTAAAATTTTTTTTTTATATTACAAAATATTTTTAAAAATAAAAATTTCTTATAAAAAAATCTATTTATAAATAAAAAGAAGGGAAAAGTAATATTTATATTTATATATATATATATTTTATATGTCTATATACACACAATCTTCTATTAAAAATCATTATTAAAATTATAATAATTAAAAATTATTAATTAAGTATTATTGTAGTTAAATTATATAGTTCTTATTAAATAAATTAAATAAATTTTTTTTAATCGGTAGTCGTTGTTGTGGCTGTTGATTTATTTTTACCTTCTAATGCTGCTAAGGCACTGTCAACTCCTCCACTATTTTGTTTTACATGTGATTTACTAAAACTACCCCTTCGTTGTTCACTAAAACTATCTCTTCGTTGTTCACTAAAACTACCTCTTCGTTCACTATTGTTAAAGTCCTTCAATGCTTTTTTTGTTGGTGTGTTTTTGGCAGAACTTGAATGTGTATGACTTCTTGATAATCTATCATATACATTATCACATGGTGGTGTTTCTGATCTTGTGTGTGTATGATGTTGTACTATTGATCCTCTACGTTCACCATTTCCTGCCATGATGCCTGCTACTTCTTCACTTTCAGGTGAATTTCTACCGAATGAATTTTGACGAAGATGTGAAACATCTTTGGATCCTCGTCGTACCATTGCCATACTGCTTTGTGATCTTCTCTTAACATCCATAACAACTCCTCCGAAATATCCACTATCACGATGTTGTGTATTTTCTTCGTTATTATCGTTAGCAGCCCCGGTGGTGGTACTGTTGTTGTTATTTTCAGTATAGAATCCCATACTTGTTGAACTATTTTGTCGACTTACTGAAGTTGTTGTTGGTGTGCTTGGTGGTAAACTAATATCATCATTAGATGATTTATTACTATCATTAGTATATCTCTTTAATCTTTTACCATTTGAATTTCTTCTGCTCATACTATTACTACCAGAAAGACTACTGGTACTATTCTCTCTTTGTAATGAAGGAGTTGCGGTGGTTTGCCTTGTTTCTATTATATTACCATTACTGCTGTCTTTAGTACCGGTCGAATCAATTGATGATTTTCTTCCAGTCTCAGAATTCTTTAGCCAGCTTGGTGGTAATTGTGAACGTGAATTTTTTCTGGACATGATTTTTGGTGCCTCCTCAGTAGGTGATGCAATCACAGTTGAATCGTCATGATCAAAGAAATAGGAGGATCCACGTCTAGAATGTGACGCATTAGGAGTATTAGGCGTATTAGGAGTTCCACTGCCGCTAACCGAAACAGCTGTTTCAACTTGTGCAAGTGCTGTCTCGTAGATACGATCAAACAATGAAATTGTATCCACTGCATCATCCTCTATTGTCTTTATTTTTAATTCTTTATTTTCTTCTGTTACTGGACTTGGTGATCTTCCCCCACGTTTCAATTTTTCTTCAAGATCTTTATTCCTTCTCTCATATTCGACAGTTGCCAAAACTGCCGCTCTACGCATAGCCAATAATGTTTTGCGCAACTCCAACATTGTTGTTTCTTGTTGTGCAAGTGTCATCTGGTTCGACCATGCACCGCTACGTAATTTAATAATATCTTCAAAGAATGATTCTAATACTGTTTGGGCCTCGATTGGATCCAGGTTCCTTAAAATCTCAACTGCTATATCATATGATGCTTCAGGTGTAACATCCTCAGGCAATGTGAATGACAATTTCTTTTCAGGTTTACCACTATTTTTACGTGGTGGTGTTGATGGTGATTTATCATCATTATTGACTTTTTCCACTGAGGATCTTCTTCTTTGTTTTTCCGTTCCTGCTGCTGCAGTTCTTGCAGCTTCGGATTGTAATGCACGAATTCTAGCATTCATATAAGTAACTTCCGAATTGATCACTTCAATCCTATCATCCAAATCTTGGTTATTGCCATTATCACTGCTATTATCAGAGTTCTCAGCAGTAATGGTTTTTTCACGTTCACAAAGTAACACATGTTTCTCAGCAACTAATGCATCACGCTTCTGAATCAATTCATCCATCAACGCCAATGATTGACGACCTGTAATATACTTGTAGATTGCTTCATCAAGTTGTTTCTTCTTCTCTTTACCACTTGCAAATACTTCTTCTTCAATTAAAACCAAATCATCCGAAGTTCTTCTCGCAGTATCACTACTAACTTTAACTTCTTCTTCATTGCCATTATTACCAGCGCTGCCACTAGTTATTTTACCACGTTTGGTATTACGGAACGCTTTTGCAATGGATTTTGGTGTTGAAGTACGTTTGAGTAAGGTCATTACTGATTTAAGTTTACCAGTTGTTAATAAAACTTCCTTTTGACGTTTTTCAAGCATAAGTTTTTGCATTTCGTTTGATTTCTCAAGTCGTTTTCTTTGTTCTTGTGCAGCCTTTTCTTTACGACGTAGGCTTTGAACTTCACGTTCGTTACGTTCAGTCATTTCACGAATCTTTTCGGTCTCAGACTTCATACGTTTGATCAATCTCAATTTTTCATTTTTAAGATGTTCGACTTGAGATCTCATGCTTCTAAGCATTGTTTCGTTTTGATTCTTCTCGACATTACTTTTTTGGGTTGTTTCGTTATATTTACGGCGAAGATCACCAATTTCTTGAATCAAACGTTTCATCTTGTGTTCGTAGCGAGCTTTAAGTTCAGCAAGTATCGAACTCTTGTCACGAGTGCTTACACCAGTACTTGAATTTTGTGTACGTTTTACAGCTGAATTTCTTTCACGTTGCATATTAATCAAATTTTCTTGCATTTGAGCCAATTGTTGTTCATATTGGGCTCGCATGAATGTGAATTCTTGTTCGGCGCGTTCCAATTGCGCGACAAGTTGCTCTTTGACAGCAATGTCTGCTTGGATTCTATGCAACATACGTGAAAGAGTAATAGCGTTTTGTTGAGATGATTGACCGGTGCTGTTTTGTGATGATGAGGATTTTGTAGAGCTAGGTGAGATTTGTTGGTCGGAGAAACTGACTGAGCGACTAGAGTTTGAGGCACGACGTTGTTGTTGTTGTTGATTTGAATTTTGTTGTTGATTTGGATCAGTTGATGAGGAAGGTTCTTGCCAAGATGGTACTTCGAATGTTTGGATTTCACTGAATGATACACTGCTTGAACGTCTTTTTTCGTCTCTCAAATGATTTGCAATCAACATTTGTTCCAAGTAACTTTCACTTTTAGTTGTTGAAGGAGCTTTAATCAATTGACTCAAGACAGGATCATCGTGCATTGAACCACCGTTTTTAAGGAGTATAAGACCTTGTTTAATTTGTTCCTTGGCTTTTTCGATGGTGTCTCTTGCACTACGACGTCTTAATCTTCTAGGGAATTTAATAATACCATTTTCATCCATCAATTGTTGATCAATCTCGATTTCGTCATCATTATTATTTTCACCATTTTCATTTTCTTGGGTGTAATGAGCAAACAATTTCTTGGCTTCATCTAAATCTTGAGGCTTAATAAATTCGCCTTCTTGGAACTGTTGTTGTTGTTGTTGGAACTGTTGAAGATCGAGGGGTTGATCGGAGTCTTGAGAAATTGGGAAATGGCCATTTGCTCTAGATGATTTAATTCCACTGCTGCTACCTTTCTTTGAACGTTTCTTCTTGCTTTTCTTTTTCTTTGAAGAAGTGTTGTTGTTGTTGTCGCTATCATTACTTTTTAATTCATCATCAGAATAATTATTTGGTTGATCAATGAATTTGATGTGACCTTTCTCTCTTCCAGGAGTGCTGCCAGCCAAGGAAGATTTACGAGGTGAGGCAGATTGTTGCTGTTGAATAATTGCTTGAAGGTCGCAAACTTGGTTTTTATAATCAGAGATTTGAGTCTCGAATTCTTGTATTATGTGATGAGTTTTCATTCTATGTTCACGATCAGCCTCCGAAAGATCACGATCATTATAACCGATTTCCAATAATAAAGTTTTCTTCTCTGTGTTTGCCATGATAAGTTCTTGTTCAACGGTTTGTAATTTCATTTTAGTCATACCCAAGTCTCCTTTAAGTTTTTTTATTTCTTCTTCGTATGCGCGGGTGTTTTCTTCATTTGCACCGCAAGATCTTAATGTTTGAACTTCCATCTTTAATCTACTTATTTGACCACGTAATTGATTTATTTCTATTGAATTTCCACCAAAATTCTCGTTAACGCTAACTTTATTTTTGATGTTACGTGCTCTGTTGGCATATTTTAATGTATTTAAAGTTTCCATGAAATTGGAGTCGGCGGGTGATATACATGCAAGCATAAGAGTTTGACTAAACAAGCATAGAGAGAAATAAAACAAACAAATTAGAGAATTATAATATAAAAGATAACTCAACGAATATAAATTATATATCACCGAATAATTTACCTGTTACCACCCAAAGAATCTTGTAATAATCTCGTTAATTTAGAATCTCTGTATGGAATGTGAGTAACTTTTCGTGATTCGTCACCGAGAGCTGATATCACATTACCAAGAGCCAATAAACCACCATTAATTGAAATTCCTTCTTTTGCACGATCACCAACAGCATTAGTTCTCTTAAGCTAAAAGAAATTAATAATAATTAATTAATATATAAATATAATCATGATAAAATATATATATGTATGTGCGTGTAAAAATAATTACTCTTTCAGAACCAGCTAAATCTACGAAATGAAATTTCGAAACTATTTTAGCAGTTGAAGCTTTTGATTTTGATTTTCTTTTTGCGGCAGCAGAAGTATCAGCAGTTGAGGAGGAGGAAGGATCTTGGTTTTCCTTATTTTCTTTATCTTCTTCTTCAACTTTAGTTTGTTTCAATATGACTGAAAATATTGCATGTGATCTTGAAGATACCAAATTCATTTCAGTTGAAGCGACTGTTCTACTTAATGAACCTTTTTGTAAATGACTATTTTATTGAAGAAGAATTTTATTGAAAATAATTAATATATTAATCATTATTTACTATTTAATTAAAGTGATTATTAATAAATATAAATACCCTAAGAGTTCATCAGGAGACCCAACGGTTACTTCTTTAACACCGGCCCAATATATTTGTCCGTTAGCATCTTCTCTGATGGTCAAATCACTTTTTCCTTTTTTGTTGTGTTCACGTTGTAAATTTAATAAATCGATCAAATCTTCATTATATAATTCTAAGAAAGATACCGCTACTTCGTATTCGTATGATGGATGCTTTATTTTTTTCTTTTCTAAATCTTCGAATAATCGGTAGATTGCACGAGGAACTATACCTATTTTTTTTTTTAAAAAAAAAAAAAAGAATAATGATGATGTCATTAAATATAGTTGCACAAATTTAAGATTATTGTAGATCATTCGTGCCAATAAATAAACAAGCGATGCAGGTTGTTATTAGATAACAACAATGGACAGAAATTGGTGAAACCATGCAAATGCAAATGCAAATGCAATAAAGAGAACGATAAATAAAAACCAAATTTAGATTAGAAGAAGTTTGAATGAATTGTTTACCTTGATGATCAGGAGGAATGTTTGCACCATCAATAGCTGTGCCCATGCTATAAGTTTTTCCACTACCAGTTTGACTAAAATGAATTAAATAATATAAGTTAATAAAAATAAATCGCGGAATTGAATAAAAAATTAAACAATAACAAATGATATTTACCCATATGCCAATATTGTAGCATTGTATCTATTATATTTTAAACAATGAAAAAATTAGCAAAGTTTATTGACGAGATGATGTGTTACATTACACATCATATATATGGTAAAATCTAATTTAAATTTTTTTTTAAAATAATAATTACCCTTCCATAAGTTTCTCGAGTAATGGAAGCGCGCAATCTTCAAACACATCTCCTTGAGGAGTATCAGAAGCAAACACATAATCGAATGTGAATGGACGATCCTGGCCGATAAGTATTTGAGGTGCGTCGGGTATTAATGATATGCATTCACTACAATTTTGTAGTATTTCTTTGCTGTTAAGAGGTCTTACTCTTAAGGCGACACTGTATTATGTACAAATGAGAGAAAAGGAAGAATTATTAGAATTTTTAATAAAGTGAAAAGATTGGTATCGATAGGAAGAGAGAATGTGAAAGAGAAAAAAAATTTTTTTTTGAAATCCTACCGTACTGAAGTTGAAGTCATTTTTTATAATTTAAATGTAAAGAAATAGTTTTTATATAAAAAAGTATTGAATTATGATACAAGAAGAAAAACGTAAACGTCGTGTATTATATACAATGGAATTTTGTGATTTTGATTTTTTAGTTTCTTTTTTTTTTTTAAAAAAAATGTAAAAAAAAAGAATTATTTTTTAAAAGTGTATTAAATTATTATTATTATTATTATTATTATAATGTAAATCAAGAGAACCAAAATTAAATAAGAGGAAATGAATTTTTTTTTTTTTACGAGCAAACGTAAAAAATAATTAATTTAAGTCTTTAGATTTTTTTTAAATTTTAAATTTTAAATATTTTTTTATGGCCGAGAAATTATTTACTATTTATAAGAAATGAATTGATTGATTTTATTAAAAGGGCGTTAAATAATTCAAATGGTCGTACTACTATAAAATTTTTATATATATTATTTTAATTTAAAAAAAGGGTTTAAAAAAACGTGCGTGTAACTGTGATTATTCGATTCGAGAGTAATATATTTTAGTTGCACGAATTTTTCAGAAATTATTTCTAGGTAATAATTTTATATATTATAATTATGATTATAATTATTAATATTTATTATTATTATTATTAAAAGATATTTATTATAATATTAATTATTGTGTGAGAGAGTGGGAGAGAGTGAGAGAGAGTGAGAGAAGCGTCCAAAATTTCAGTTATTTATATAATTTTTTCTTCAGTTTTTTTAAGTTTATTTTACTTTAATAGATTCAATTTAATAATAATAATAATAATAGATAAAAAAATTTTTTAAATATATCACGCCTATGTGAAAATAAATATATTTATATTGAAATTTTTTTTTAAAAAAATATATATACAAAGATTATTATTACGCGCGTTGATGTTAGTTAACATTATATATATAATAATAATATAAATCTATAAATTTATTTATTTTATTTTATTTTATTTTATTTTATTTTATTTTATCTTATTTTATTTTATTTTATTTTTAGTTCTTGATAGAACGATAGGACACGCGATATACATTTCCATTAATTTAAACTTTCTCATATAGTGATTCAGTCTAAATGATTTTTTTATGGTAAATAGGACCCAGCATTACGTATTATCTATCTATCTAACATCTAAAAATCCTAAATTCTAGGTGATCAAAAAAAAAAGTTATCTGGGGTGTTAGTGTTACACGAGACTTTATTATTAAAAATTTTTTTAAGTCAAGACTTGCTTGATCTACTAATTCATTCATTCATGTAATTGTCATTAAAGTATTTTTTGTGCAAGAAACGAAAAGGGAGCGCAAGAGAAAAAGAGTGAAGAGTGAAAACGATAATAATCAATTTAATAATAATTATTATAATAATTGTGATGACGAGTTAAAGGTTCATAATTAATTAATAATATTAATTTAAAAATTTATTAATATTAATTAACCAACACTAACTTGTACAATAATAAAATATTAATTAAAAAAAGAAATTTTACCAAATTTGAAAAATAATTAACAACTTTTAATTAATACATTAATTTAAATTGGCAATTATAAATAAATTGTAATTTATAATTTATATTACCCCACAAAAATCATCAAGTTAGTAGTTTAATAATAATAGTGTGTAATATTCGCAGTGCAATATAATAAGAATTTGTATGTGGGTGATGATGGCGGTGGTGGTAGTAGCGGTGGAGATATAAGCAACAACAGTTATAGCAATAGGGATAATTGAGTGATAATTGACGATATAAATTTTTTTTTTATAATAATTAATTGGTGTTTAAAGTTGGCAGTGAATGAATCTTCATCAAAAAGATGCTGTTTTGTGGTAATAGTATACATGGGTGAGGGTAAAGAAAATAATGGTAATAATAGTGGGATTATTCTTTTTATGAAAATGTATGTAGTTTGCATGTAAAGTATATGTGAGGTATATGTGTGCATTGTAGTTCAGATTGTGTTTTATTTATTATGAAGTTATTTAAATAAATTCATAGAATTAATTATTAATATTAATAATAAATAAATAATTAAATAAATAAATAATTTATTTATTTATTTTTATGTTTATCTATCATTGTTTAAAAAAAATAAGTGTCTGGTTACTTTAATTAGGTTCAGTCAATCAAGCAAACAAACAATTATTTCTCCACAAAAAAAAAAATTTGGTTGTTTTCTTTATGTGAGCATCTACAGTACAAGAATAGATGATGGATGATGATGAATGTACAAATATATCTTATACACTGATATATGTAACAAAACATTACATTTTCAACAATTTTCATAATATTCGAATAAAACTAATTCATTCATTCAATTACTTACTCGATCTCATTCATCGTCGTCGCCAGCATCGTCATGTCTCTTGTTAAATCTCTCATTTCTTTAATAAGAAGGAATAATTTAAAAACGTAAATTTTATCGTCATCATGTTGATAGTTTACAGATTTGCTTATGATTAACAGGTTCATTAGCTAGAATATTAGCCTATCTCTGAACTAATTTGAAAGGTTTATCAATTCGTTTTATTTTTTAAAAGTAAATGGTTAGTCTATTCCCCAAGTTTATTAATTAGTTTATTTGAGAGTCTATTCCAAAAGTTAATTATTATTAGACATATATACGATAATAAAGAAACCTAATTAAGAACAATCAAAAGATAAATTTGAAAAAAAACTAGTTGCATACATGTGAAGTTATACATATATGTACCATATATATATAAATTCGTAAAAAAATAATCATGCACTTACCTTTAAAAATATTTTATTTATCAACTGCCAATTAATTACTAGATGATCTACTAATAGACCAAATAACTAGTAAGTCACTCGTTTCCAACTCATTTCTCCATCAAGATTTCAAATATTAAGATTTCAATTCGATTCAATTCAATCAACTTTTCGTAATTGTTTAACATACAACTAAGCGCTTGTGATTCAGTCTTCACTTTTTTTGACAATATTTTCATTCCTTCATTTATCCAATTTCAATCAATGATTTCATCATACCTTTAAAATTCTTCACGAAGAAGAAAGTAAATATGTGAAGAATATTATAATATGCAAAATATATCTGCACATATTTATTATTATTATTATTATTCTAATTATTATTATCCTTCTTCTAATTTTAACCTTTGGCCATGATTTTTCCTAAACAATGGAACTATATAATAAAATAATAAATAATGATAGCAGTAGTAATAATAATAATAATAAATAAAACCTTTTGAATTTCAATTTCTTCCGTGATTATTATTAAAAAATGGTTGTTGTCTTTATTTTGGATCATTATTTGTTTATTTTTTGCATATCAAAAAATCATCGAAAAATTTTTTTTAAAAAACAATGGCTTCTATTGTGTTAAATTTTTAATAATCGTCCTTAATTAATTAATCTTATATCATCAGCATTATTTTTTACCATATTTTAACAATGGCAGATTAAGCAAGCTTAACCTAAAAGGTAAACAATTAGTAAATATTTACTAGCCCAAAAGTAAATTTGGTAATTAATTATTTTTCAAAAAATTTTGGTTTTTTTTGGGGAAGGGGAAAATGTAATAATGATAATGCGAGGATGATAATAAACGATGAAATAATACCCTGAAATTTTTGTTGATGTCTTCAAATTCGCTCTTTCTTTATTATATATTACTATTATTATAATTACACAAAACAATAACACCGTTTATTATTCACAACTAGCATCATTGTTGGTTGTATCGTTTACAGATTAGTTTGAGAAGTTCAATTCGTTTTTGAGAATTTTCAATAATGAAGGAAGAAGGTCGGGACAATGAAATCAATTAGAGTATTGTTCTTTAGATGATAATGAAAAAGAGGAAGTAAAAAAAGGATGAATTCTATTAACAAAATAAAATTTTTGAATAAATTTATTTCTTTGCCATATTTGGAAATTTTTATAATTTAAAGTTGAAACAATGATTGTATTATCAAAATTTTGATAAGATCTACAGATGTATCTATTATCGCACATCGTAATTAATGAACGGTCTATATTTTTCAAAATACAAATACAAGAGCGTACATATATATATGATTTAAGCTTAGATATAAATTAAATGAATGTTAAAAACCAATTTGTAATTCTTTTCTCCACAAAAATTATCATCATAATAAGCAAAGATCGGAAAAATCATTCTCTAATTATAATCATCCATAGATATATAAGTTGTCATTTAAAGAATGGGAAACAACAATCAATAAATCGAATGTAATTGTTCTTAATTATATGAGACTTGCTAAAGGTCATTAAAAAAACCTGTTAACTTACTTGTTAAAAACAAACAAATGCTATTTAAGTATAGGAGGAGGGAAGGAGAATTGTAGATAATTTCCCTAGCCTATACATTTTTTGGATTTCTTAAAGAAGTCATGTATGTAAGGGAAAGATTGAAGAGGAAGGTGGATCGGTGGGAAATATGCAAACAAGATGAGAAGAAATAAAGATTGTGTGTGTGTGTGTGTGTGTGTGATAGTGATGATGAAAAAGAAGTTAATTAATAAACGACAATCTTTTGCTATTTTTTTTTTTTTGTCTAAAAGATCAAGTGAATTTAGGAATATCGATCTGAGGGAGAAAGCACAATGTAAATATTATAGTTAGTGGTTAAAGAGGAATACAAATAATATAATATAGTATTTTTTTTAATATTATATTTTTTATCGCCACTGCGTCATTTATTACCACCAAACAGGAATTTTTCCAGTGTTTATTCATATTCATATTTACTTCTTACGCTTTTGGGTAGTCTTTATTAATATATTTAGGCGTAAAAAAATTTCACATGATGAATATGAAATCCCTGGATATATTTAATTTAAAAAAAAAATTGAATACTTGCCAAGACCCTGGTCTATATTTTTAATTTTGCACATAATCGAAATAGTGTGCATGTGGGTTTATTTAATTGCTAAATAAATAAATTGTTAATAAAATTTTACCAGTTTTTTCAGTTTTTTCATACAAAAAAAAAAATTATATAAAAAAACCAATACCACACCTTTTTTTAACGTAAACATTTTTTTTTGATAAACATTTTTTGGCTAACACTATGACCACCATGGAAATCGATATCATCATATATATATAAAATACCCACAATTCGCTCATCATCAACATCATTTAATCAAAAGAAAAAAGATGACCACACAATATTAATAAATATTAAATCTTATTCCAAAATATAATCTCATAGTAATATAGTAATAGATATTCGATGTTAGTGTAACAACATGAAATAAAATGAACAATGAATTGCTTAAAGTTTTTTCTTTCTTACCATAATTATAGCATGATAATTTTCTTCCAATCACCACCATTTGTATAATAAACATGTATGGTGACGAAATAGTCGGGAAGAGAAGGAAATAGAATATTTTAAAGAAATTCTATTTCACATTATTATTTCAACGATTTTTGGAATTATTGCTACTTGTTTTGTTTCTATTATTCGTCAAGAAAATGAGTTTATAAGAATTAGTCATTATCATATTATAATTAACAAAGTTTGATGATTTGGTTGGATGCTAAATTAAAGAAAAAGTTCAAAATAAGTTTAATTGAAAAAAAATTTATTATTAAAAAAAATTTAGATTTAATTAAATTTTTTATTAAATATTTATTTTTACCATTTTATTTACTTTTTAATATTAATTATGATTTTTTAATAATGAGAATGATAAGGTTTAAAGATGCGGTAAATATTTGGAAAACTCTATGAATGAATTATTAAATATTATTTGTTTGTATGACACCAATCCACAACATCACAATAATAATAATTATTGTTTATAAAATCTTTGTGTTCTATATATATTGCTATTGATCAGTTATTATGTCACGACATGTTAAGAGGTTGTGGAATATTGTTGAAAAAAAGTGAAACTTTTTATCACGTGCATCAATGAATCGAATTAGAAATTATTAGGAAAATGAAAAATGAAACATTTCTCTAAGGTTCTCCACTAAAGAATAATTGATTTATTGATTTAACCAAATAAACAATTATTGTTTTTAAATCGTTATGCACAAAAATTTTCATTCGAATGTTTAAACCCCATAATAATAATAATAGATATCGTGTGCACAGACGCTTAAATAAAAGCAGGGGCCACCATACACAACCAAATACAAAACCAATCAAATAAATTGGCCAATGATCAAAATTGTTAATTAATAACTTTTACTTTTTTTACTCTATTCATTCATATTTAGAGTTATGTATGGATGTTGATTATGATAATATTTATCACATTGCCAATAAATGTTATTCATTTCTTAATTATTTCGTGAAAATAAAACGTCGAGACGAAAATTTTATCTGAAACCTTTTTTTTTTTTCCAATTTAACCATTATTCGACCTATACAAATATCAATTATTTGATCATGATCCATTAATAATCCTTTTGAAATATTCTAAATAACTTATGTAAGCGCCGAGATCTTCTATCTAACACTAACTATATATTGTTTGTCCATGAATTTAAAATGGCAAATTTTTAAAAAATATATTATTTCATTCATTGATCGTTCGTTTTAGTTTTACTTTTTGCGACATAATTTCACATACTAATACATATAAATAATTGTGTAACATATACAATTTCATGGGGAATTAAGGACTCTTGCCAAAAGTGTTGTTGTTTCAAAATATTTTTTCAGTTAAACCAACAAATTGAACTTTTACCACTTGACTAAAAAAACCTTAATTTGATATATTATTATGCATAACTATTGAAGTTCGATATGCCATCCACAATTCTCACTTAGGGACAACAAAAAATAAAGAATCTATTCAATATTATTATTATTATTATTATACATATATATTATCAAGTAATTTCATTATATGTCAAATTTGTTAAGATTATTAATTCTTCACGCGTGCAACAATGAATCTCTCGCTATAATGAATAGTTTTGGAAAAATTCGTTATATAGAGAAGAATTTATTATAGTAATTGTTTATTATTATTAGACTGTTCTGGACTCTTAATCTGTTAAATCAAGACTTTAATAGGATGTGTACACATATATATAAAATCGTGAGAATTAATAATAGTAATAATAATAATAATAATAATAATAAATAATAAATAAATATCCGAATTCGATTCTTAAAAAAGCAATTAACAAAAAACTTTATTTTACACATAATTATTATTACCGATAATAGAATTATTTAATTTCCTTTTTGGAAAGATATAATAAAAGTAATGTTAAAGCACAATTATTAATGTAATGTTATAATAATAGTAAAAGTTTCCTTCCCTGCTTCCGTCATTCTGGTTGTTTGCTTGCCTACCTTTTACTTATTCAATAATATTTGTTTTCACTCCCTAAAACTCTTGCTAGTTAAGTAAATGAATGCACAAGTAGTACGTACATATATGCAAAATAATTGGAGAACAACAAATTTTAAATGACAACAACTTTTTTCCGCACAATTAATTTCCAATTAAGATTTTTTAAAGAACATAAAACTAAAAAATTATGATTATTACTACTATAAATATTTCCACGACATTTTTAGTAGAATATAAACAAATATGTATATAAATTTTTCTTACAAGATCATTTGTGAGAAAATCAGTATGGTGTGAGCGAGAGGAGGATGATGATGATGATGATAGTGAGTATAGAACTTGATATGTAGAATATATATATAAATATGTATATATAGATAATAATATATATTATCAATAAAATAAATAGTATAAAAAAAAATTTTTTTTTTGTATAAAAATAAGTAATAACTCGGTTATTTCTCAGTTATAATGAAAATTTTAACAATGATGCATTATGTAAATCTTATATTTTTTTTTTTGAAAACAAATAAATACATAATACCATATATGTCAACATATAAATAATTAGAATAAAAATTTTTTTTGCAAAAAGAAGCAAAGCGAGCGAAGAAAAAAAGAGAGGGAAAACAAAATGGCAAAGAATTATATAACAAGTTTGTTTTTACTTTCCTTCCTTTTCTTTTTAAAATACTATACACACACATACGCCAATTGAAAACGATGGAACTATTTAGGTTTTTTTTTCACTTAAACTTCAGATTTTTTTTTTTTAAGAAACTAATAATTAACATATGCGTGCTTTGATGGACGAAGATGGAATTAGATGAAATGAATGAATTCTTTTTAATTTATTAATAATTATAAAAGATTATAATAGCATGTTTATTTATCTACTGTATTATTGAAAGAATTAGAAATCTTCAATTGATTGTCAAGAAAAAAAAACCTGTGTTTTAAGTAGGTTTTGTCTAGTATTTTATGTACCCCACACTTTCGATTTTCTTTTGGCAGTTGGGATATTTAAAAATTCTCCTTTACACCATTTATTTATTAGAGATGATTGTGCAAAGGCTTGAGTCGAATTTATCTATAAGATGGTGGCTTCAATTTGTTAAAAAAACTGCGTCAGAGTTTTTTTTATTATTCATGTACACGTACAATTAAAACATTTTGTTTATGTTAAAATTAATAAAATTAATTAATTTAATTTCAAAAAGTAAATATAAATAAAATGGTTTTCTATTTAATTAATAATTAAAAAGAATGGCGTGTGTGTGTGTGTGTAATTAGGAAAAAAACCTTGTTTTTTTATCTCATGTAATTATCAAATATTTTTATAAAGTTAGTATTATTTATTATCGTCCATTAATGTTGTTGTTTATCATATACATTATAAAAAGAAAGAAATTTTTAATTTTGGTAGAAAAAAAAAAAAGAAAGAAAAATTTAAAAAACGCCGAAAAATTTTTTTTTATTATCTATGTGGCTCAATTTTTTATCTTTTCCATATTAGACAAACAATTTTTGAATGATTGGATGATGAAGATCAAATGTGAAAATGATCTACTTTGGCGTTATATCGCATGAAATGTGAATATCTTACCTATAAAGGAAATTGTATTGTCTTTTTGGGTAAGATATTCACATTTCCAAACTTTCAGCACATATGACGTGCGCCTGGTAGAAGGAAGATCAATGTATAAAACTCTACGCGTCTTTTGATCACACTCACTTCAGGTTGAAAATTTTAAAATATCATTCATTACAACATATTCTCTCTCTCTCTAATACGCCATTTCTTAATTAATATTAATGAATTAGCTTTATTATCCGACTCGTACATATATAATGACAATACATACATTACATAACATTAATAATAAATAATATCTTTCTCTTATATGGGCTAGTAAAAAAACAACTCATCTATATCAGACAAATCCCCCATTGTTATACTAATTTGTCTTTCTTAAGCGATCAGAATAGTAGCTAATTAATAGTAATACAAGCATTCTTTTGTTCGAAAAATATCAAATTTTTCAACTCGAAAATTTTAAAGTTGATCATCAGCTAATCCCAGCAACGCAATCTACACCTTAAACACACACACACTTTAAATCTACAGATCGATCATCCAATAATCGAACGTGTGATTTTTTAATTTAATTTGATGAAATGATCTTTTTAACTTAATTAATGGGTGTCGTTATAATAATTACAATTATTGTTCTTTGTCTATGAAAGCAATTATGAGGTTTAGTATGCTAAATATTACAATGTTCTTTATCATTTCCATTATTCCTCATGGAATACACACAAAGACTTATATGGTATAATTACATAATTTGTAACACACACATTATTAACTAATAGAAAAAAGAATATCCAAGAGTAAAAAACTTTTTTTCGAATCAAAGAATAAATTGCGTGAGAATTTCGTTTGAATTTTTTATTGTCATAATAATGACAATTGTCACAATCAATACACATTGTCGTTAAGGTTTCTTGATTCACTCTGCCAACAACAACTTTGACAACAACAAACAAAATCATTATTCTTCTTTTCAATTAATTAATTGGTTTTTTATAATCATCATTATCATTCAACTCATCATTATTATTTTTACAGTGACAACAATTTAAATAAAATTTTTTCCGAGAAAAGGAAGGGTCGGTTGTGAAAAGTGAAAAAAAAAAACTTGAATTAAAACGCGAAATTTATGAAATAATCGGATCTTTTAAACGTCAAAAAAAAATATTCTTTTTGTAGTTAATATCTTGCATAGACAAACAATACATGTGAGTTTGAATGATTACATACGTTTTATTTCCAAGCTTCAAGACTTCCAAAAATATATATACATACAATATATTATTTATAATATATATATACACACACACATATATATAAATAATATATATGCATGTTTCACATTTTTTATAATAATAATAATAATAATGTAGAAATACAATGTAATAAAAAAATAATGAAATTCAAAAAATCGATTGTATTATTGTACAGGATGGATGAGTGAGTGAATATTGCATCATGGTCATTGTATAAAAATTTACCTTAATTACAATTGTTATATCACATCATATAAATATTTTTGGCGTTCTAGGTAGCCTTTTCTAGGAACCCATTTTATTTTATTCACCTAATTTATTCATGCAAGAGAGAGCGCGTTTCTTTATTTTCTTGTAAGAGCTTATACATAGTTGCATGCATCTATCTTTTATTACCTATTACTATAATTATAATAATTATATTATAGTGGCTATTTTTGAAAATGAAAAAATCAATTTTGATTTACTTATTTAGAGGACGCGCGAACTCGATAAATGGATAGATGGATAGATAGATAGATAGATGGATATATTTTTAAAATCACCGCATGTGTTTTTAAAATAAACATTCACTTCATAATAATAATTAATGTTGCATGCGGCATCGGAGAGCATCTGCCTGATCTGTTAGGTGTTAATGAATTGTTATAATCTTCTATTCTAGACTGACTATTTTCTCATTAAACCTATTTACAAGGTGATACCAGTCATATGATAAAAATTGATTGGCCAAAAATCATGGAAATTTAGATCTTTCATTTTTTTTTGAGAAAAAAAATTTTTAAAATGAATGTTATATTTAACATGTATCGAAGAAGAGCTGCAGTAACACATAAATTGTTAATCAAAAGAATCAACAATAATCCAATTTTACCTAGGCTTCCGCTGATACAAGATAGTTTAAAACATTGTTCGATCACGACTGCCTCTTCAAGTCAACAACAGAATGATATTTTTGCATTTAACAAATTATTGTATGATTGCGTAAGTTTTCATTAATTAGCACAACAATATATAGATAAAAAAAGATTGGCTTATAAAATTATTGTTGATTGATATTATTTATTATTAGGCAATATCTAAACAACCAGATGAAGCTGAAAAAGTAATAGAAATGATGAAGGTCAGTTGATCGATCAATCAATTAGTCATTCGGGTCGATAATACGTGGGAAAGAAATCTTTAATTCGATATTATTTTATTTTGTGTTTAGAATGCCAATGTATTTCCTACACTCCACACGTACGAACATCTTTTAAATCTTTATGCAAATGTTGGTGATTTGAAAAAAGCAATCGCGGCCTTTAATTTAATTGAAGCAGGCAAACATCAATATATGTTATTTTTTATTTTAATGTGTTATATATTTACTCATTCGTCATATTTATTCGTTTATATTTTAGTTGGGTTTGAACCTACATTACATAGTTATGCAAATTTAACTAAAGCATATGCATCAAACAAAAAAACGGTTGATGCATTTGAAGTATTAAATGATTTAAAAAATACAGGGAATATACCAAATCAGGTTAGAAAATTTTCACAAAATTCTATTTTCTTTCTTATGCCTTCATCATCCATCCAACTCAACTAATAATTAATTAATTTCAAAAAAACTATTATTACAAGGTGATTTATAGCATATTAATAAAGTATTGTGCTGATACTGGTGATTATAATCGAGCTTGGTCAATATTTGAACGTTTGTGTTCAGAGATTGGTGAGCCTGATAAAGTGACATATTCACTAATGATTCATATTTGCGCAAAGGTAACAATTAATAATAGTAATATCATTATTATTATGAAAAAATTTTTAATATAATAATAATTATAATTCCATAAAGTGCAGACTAAAAAGAAATTATTTAAAAAAAAATATGAACAAGTATATACATACTCACACATTTTTATATAGGCTATACTCGAAATATTATACCAAAGTACTACTTTATACATTCCATACGAAATTCAATATATATGTCATGCATGTATAATAATATAGTCTGCACTTTACGGTAATTATATTTATTATTATATTTTTTATAATTTGTTATATGCTTATATATATATTTAATAACATACTAATATCATCACGATTATCATTATTTATTGTGTTGTGTACATATATATATTAATTTAGCAAAAGGATGCAGGAAAGGCGTTGCAATTGTATGACGAAATGTTGGAGAAAAAATTACAACCTACGAATATCACATATAATTCATTGATTCATGCTTGTTCAAGAAGAAAAGATATCCTTCTAATTAATAATAACAATAATGATCATGATAATAAATAGACTATTATTCTTAATGGTTTTTATTTTTATTATACATTACTATTATAAAGTGTTTGAACTAGTAGAAGAAATGGAAAATCATGGGTGTGTGCCTGATTTGATCACTTACAATACATTAATTTATGCCTGTGCAATTAATGGTGATTTGGAAATGGCTAGAAATATATTAATAAATTTAATTCAAAGGTATCTATTTATACATTGTATTCATGAGAGAGTATTTATGAATATTTATGAAATATGTGCATATATATATATTTTTTAAAAATATTTAAATATTTAAATTGCTAGTGCAAAAGAAAATTCATTATTAATACCTGATGATATTACATTTGTAAATTTATTATGGACTTATGCATCCCACAGTGAATTAAAGATTTCAAAAAAATATACCAGTAGTGCTAATAATAATGATAATTATAATAATAATAGTAACAATGTTATTACCAGTAGTAATAATGATGACAATGATGGTAATGATAATAATAGTAATACCAGTAGTAATAATAATGATAATGATGGTGATAATGATATTAAAGATAAAGATAATACTAGTGATAATGATGGTGATGCTAGCAATCATAATAGTAATAACCACAACAATAATAATTCTAATAGTATTAATGATAATAATCATAATCCTAGTAATAATAATGATAGTAAAGTCATGTCAGATGCAGCAGTGAATGATAATATTATAAATCCATTATCATTACAAAATAATTCTAGGCAAAATATTGTTGATGACATTTATATAGACTTAAAATCAGCTATAACAAACATTTTAGATTCATCTATGGAAGAAGAGAAGGAAAAAGAATCATCACCATCATCATCATCATCATCGACAACAACAACTAGAAATAAACCAATGGAACTAACCAATCTAATGATTGGATCTGATATATATCCATTATTTACCAATTGTCCAAAAACAAATTTGCAAATTTTTATGGAGGCAGAAATGATTTATAATTATTTAATCTCCGTCATTTCCTCTTCACCACCATCACCCTCATTGTTGTCAACATCAACACATATTAATAATAGTAATATTAAAATAAACTTTAAAGATAATAAAATATCAAGTTATCTAATTATTTCATATATGAGTGTCATAGAAAAAAGAATGAACTTTCATTATTTATGGGATTTTTATAAAGTTAGTATACCAAAACTTGGAATAGAATTAAATGGTTGGATGTTTTTAATATTATTGTCTGGATGTTATCGACATAAACAATTGGAGAAAGCATGGAATCTATGGAACAATTGGAGTTGTTGGCAAGAAGCTGAAACTAGTAAGATTTCAAAGAAATTTGATAATGTTTATCAACAAGAAATTGAATTAGAAAAGATTGGACTTTCTAAGGAGTTAGAATATGAAATTTATAAATTCATGATTAATATTTTAGCTAGGTATTACATATATATATCTACATGGCTTGATTTTTTCTACATAAATACCAACTAATTTTTTCCCATATTTTTGCAGATGTAATGATATTAATACTAGTACAATACTATTGAAACAGTTATCGATAAGACATGTAATCAAATTTCAAGAAAATTGTAGATTATTAATAGATAGAATTGAGGAATCAAAACGGTTATCAGATTATAACACTGCAAAATTGTATAGAGAAGAAGTGATTAAATTAATAACAAAAATACATCCAAAGAAGAAAAAACCATTACCAAAATTACAATCTAAAAATGTACAATAATAAAAAAACAAATATATAGACATGTCTCAATATTGAATTATTTATTATCAATAAAAGCTTTCTATAATAAACAAAAACTTCACCTTGTTTTTTTAATCTCACAAAAATAGATTAGTCCATTTAAGATATACTAATATATATATATATATATGCAAAATGTACGCCAAAAAGTAACATCCTCGCATAGTCAACTATAATTAACTATAATTATTACTATTACTTTACTTACTACTACTATTATTATCATTTATTTATATCATGATAATCATCATCCATCTATATATAAAATATTATTTTTATTATTTATAATTATTGTTATTTCCTTTTTTGATTTTTTTTGATTTCCCAACCCCAGATTTTTCTTTTTGCTAAATTTGTATATGAAAAAGGGTCTTTTTCCATATTAGTGATCATTTAATTATTACGAATTTTTTGAGTTTTTTTTGGTTATTAAAAATTATAGCACTAAATTTGGAGTGATAGTAAGAAGCATCAATGAAATACTTCGCGTTTTAAATGATTGATACTCTTATTTTTAATTATCACTCGAATATATACCGTGGAATGATGATTATTTAATATATATTAATATTATGTTGTTTTTTAGTGTCGTTTTTATTTTCAAAAGTCACTATTATTATTATTATTATTATTATTATTATTATTATTATTATTATTATTATCAACAGTATCAAAATTCGAAAATCATTAATTGGTTGTATGATTTTTAATATGCAATTTATACATTATCATCCACCTTTTTTAATAGTTGCGTGTCCGTGTCCGTTTAAGTTTTCTATTTCGGTACCGAGTTATTAAAATGTACTATTTCAGCAAAGACTTATTATAAGGAGCTAATTGATTTCGCCCCCCCTGAGGCGTCTTCAAATTCAAAGAATACATTTTTAGTCAAATTCCTTTTAATTGTATTATAGTACATTATAGTCATAAGTTTTTAATGATTTATTAAAAAAATGGAAATCGTTAGAGTAAAGAATTTATTACTATTGCTTGAAATTGATTTTCGATCATCGTTTTGCATTGTTGTTTCTATTTTTTCTGTCACATGTACATACATGCATCCATATATTCATACACTCATACATATATGAATAATGCTAGAGGAATAATAATAATGATTGTCACCAAAGTTGGAAGTAACTCTGACTGTTAATCAGCTGCAAAAAAAAACACAACAGCCAATAAATTAATATACAACTATTAATAAATTTAATATGAATCGAGATCGAAAGATTTTTTTTATACGCGTTCAATTACACACACAGTTAATAATGAATAATTGAATTATGATGATAAGACGAATGTGTAAAATGTACCCCACAATAAAAATATGTCTGTTATTAACGCACAGTGAGATAACTTTACCTTTTGTAAAAACATTATGTGTGTATCATACATATATTACTTTACTACGTTTAGTAATAACGTTGTTTGTTGTTTTGGAAAATAAATTTTCAGAATTACGTACGAATTTCAAACACGTTAAATCATTTTTTCACTAGCAAAATATTAACGTTTACTTTAATTATAATATCAATCAATAGTGATATAATAAGTTAAATTTGTCGATCAATTGATAAATTAAGTGTTATAGAAAGATAACGCCATCATTTACGCGTATCTTTAATAATTCCCATTTTTTAATTAAAAGTTTGGTTATTTTTATTTTTATTTCTCGTTTTTAACTGATGGAGTTATTTAATTAGTGCCACCATCATTAACAACAACAACAACAACAACAACAACAACAACAACAATAATAATAATAACAACAACAACAAAAGTAACAAATAGCGCGACTTAGATGGAATGGAGAATGATGATGATGGATAACGGAGCATGTGAGATACGTTATCAATTAATCAGTCAATCAATAAACGAAACTTTCTCTTTTTGATCAGAAAACAATCATGTGCGTGTGCGTGTGCGTGTTTCATAATTGAATGTTCTTTGGGTAAAAAAAAATAAATTTTTTTTTTGATGGTGATGACGATGGTAATACACCAAGCAAATATTATGAATAATCACAAAGAAAGAAAACAAATCACACGTAATTCATTACAATGATAAATATAATATTATTAGTGCATGCATGCAACTTCCTTCTCGTATCATAATTATGATTAGGAACATAGTTATGGTGTTGATTTTTCTAAATCTACAATTACTAATCATTTTCTAATCTGTCACTTGATTATTTTTTCTCCATAATAATAATAATGATGATAACAATAATTAGGTACTAGAAAGTAGTACTAAAATTAATAATTTTTAAAAAACTTGTTAAACACGATTTTATTTTAAAAAAAAATCCATTTATCATTATCCGCAAAAAGAATATTTTCGTTGTTTCAATTGAAAAAAAAAAAAAAAAAAAATATTCACAAAGAATAATTCGTTCTGTAATTATTTTCAAGTGTGAAAAAAAATAAAAAGCGCACATGAAAAAAAAAAAACAAAAATTTCACGTTTGTGAAAAAATCAATTTAGCGAAAAACAAAAAAAATTAATAAAAATTAATTAGGAAATCTGATAATTATTAACTCTCCGCAAATCTTAAAATGGTAATTTAAAGATTACATTTTGGTAAAACTTGAAGCAAATATTTGCAAACAAAATAATAATAACTGTAGAAATAAATAAATAATAAATATAAAACTTTAAAATTAAAATTAAAATCATAACGTTTGTATAAATGCTAATATATATAATCATTGTATTATATAAAATATATTTCAATAAAACTTTTAATGTTAAATTAAATTGTCCAATGATTGTTTTTAATTATTGCATATATGGATTTATAGTATATAATTTTTTTTTAATTAGTTATCTTAATATTTATTCAATAAAAGTTAAGTAAATAATAATTATTAAGAAAACTGTGCAAAATAGTAATAATTAAAAATAATTAATAAACAATTAATATGTTATTTGTGGTTTTCATATTCTTTTGCATAATAATATATATATATAACATGAATATAACATGAATGTATGTTACTTGCATATAAAGAAAGGTTTTTTTGGACGAGTTGTGTGCCTAGGAAGGTGCGAGAGTAAGGCCTAGAGGGTGATGAATAATCATGATTTTATGGGCTGTAAAGTGGAAGGCGCAGTAAATGGAATGTGAAGATCTCGCCTATAAAAGAAACACAACTTCCTTTTTTGGAAAGATATTCACATTCCAAATCTATGATGATGTTAATAATTAAGCAAGTTATTATTTAATCTCTTTCATATAGGATTTATATAACTCTTCTATAAATGATTATTATAATGATTTAACACCTGATAATTTCTTTATTCGCAATTGCCGCTACTATTCACGCGTTATTCTCTCGGCGTTGTTATTCTTATATTGCACAATCATCGTATATAAAAAACATTGTTCCCGCCGTATAATTAGCACCACTTGCTCGAAGGGAATTTACGACGCGCGTGTCAAACAATTGTAATGCTTTATTGATAAATCAAAATATCAAAATATTTAAATAATCGAAACAAGTTGGTTGCAATTTTATACTCTCATGCTCATTAGCTGTCACTGTATAAATCTTTAAAACATTCATTGATGTTTGTTTTATCACACAAGTTCAAATAGATGCGACGCGAACATGCTTTGAGATCGTTTTGTGAATGATGACTTGGAGATTTTTCAATTTCTTCTTGATTGATACGAAATATTTAACAATAGTCAAGCCATTATTACTATGCGCGTAAGACATCTTTAATTAAGAAAGCTTTTTCTTTGATGCATACGCGTAAAAGTAAATGTTCAAGTGCGTTTAAATGTAATTTATTAATTTTAAATCTGAGACATGTACATTTTTCTAATTTACTAGATAACAAAAATCGCGAAACAATAATGGTGATGATGATGATGACAAAACGATGATGGATATTAATATAATTTATATAATTTATATATTAGTTGTTGCAAGTGTCGCATTCGTGACAGCATTTTCACTTTGACTAATAATTCCAATGGTTTATGAACTTGTGAAAAAACCAAAGAAAATTTGGAAGGAAAAGAGAGAAAAAAGAGACAAAGAGAGTAATAATAACAAGAGAAAAAACATCAAAGTTGAACTTAAATTGCAGCTAATAATAAGTAAATATCAATTAATTAGTCGAATGCTTTAGCAACAAAAATTGATATGAATGGTAAAAAGAAGAAATAAAAGAAGAGTAACGTTATTTAATTGGCTTTACTTGAACAAAATGTCAGACGTTAATCATCCCATAATTTCTAAAGTAATCAAAAGTAGTTTTAAAAACTTTGAAGTTTGAATTTGTCTTCTTTATGAATCAAGTAACTTGTGATTAATTGCCTAGTCATTCATTAATACTAATACTATTTAATAATTTATGGCTATACTTTACAAGTTTATAATAAATATATATAATCCGCGTCCACACCGAAAATGATGATTAATCTTGAAATTATTTTTGGTACTAAACGTGGTTGACATTCGCTAATAAATCAAAGAGCAAGGTTTATTTTCATTGTAATAATGTATTATTATTATTAATTGTAACATTAAATAAATGTAAATCCGCTGTTTATCAAACCAAAAAAATTTTTAATGAATTACCATCATCACTTTGATTCTTTTTCAAAAATATTTATCAACAAGTTTTTTACAATGTCTAATTCTATATTTTCCACGCCTGCTTCTTCTATCACTGCCATTAAGGCTACAGCATCCAATTCATCTGGTTCAAATAATAATAGTAAATTAGAGAATTCTTTAGAGTCGCTTCAAAAATCTTTTATTTTTAATAATAACTTACCAGCAGATCCTATAACACCACCAACCTTTTCCACTTCCATCACCACCTCCTCAACTTCTTCATTACACCAAACACCAAGACTAGTAAAGAACTCAGTTTTTAGTTATACAATGCCTGAACCAGTACCTGATCCTCAATTACTTTGTATATCAAATAAAGTTTTAAAAGATATTTTAACTTTGGAAGAATTTGAAAATTTGCCAGAAATTGAAAAGAAAAATTGTTTGGATATTTTAAGTGGTAATAAGATTGCCGAAAATACTCGTCCTTGGTCACATTGTTATGGCGGTCATCAATTTGGTTATTACGCTGGACAGTAAGTTTATTTGATTAATTCATAGATCGGATTTTTATTTCTTATATTTCTTATTATGGAATGAAACATTCTATAATTTCCATTATTAAATTTATCAAATCAATTAGACTTGGAGATGGCAGAGCAATGTCTTTATGTGAGTGGGTTAATGATCATTGTTGTATTTATTTATTCTTTAAATCAAACTTATTCATTTTATTTATTATAGTTGAATTCATTAATAATAACAATGAAAAATGGGAATTACAGTTGAAAGGTTAGATTCTACTTTGATTTTTTATTAACTAGTTCAATATTTATTATATCTTTTATAAATTATTTATTTATATATAGGAGTAGGTAAAACACCATATTCTAGGATGGGTGATGGTTATGCTGTATTAAGATCTTCCATTAGGGAATTCCTTGCATCAGAAGGTATAGTATTCTTGCTACGAAATGTCCCTTGTAAATAGATTCCATCACCCATCACGTATCTCATATCTTTCCTCTATTCATCATCTCACCGTTCAAAAATTTAGCATTGTCAGCATTAGGAGTCCCAACATCAAGAGCATTATCACTAGTTCATACACCAAAACGTAAAGTAATAAGAGAGTCGATAGAAACAGGGGCGATTGTTTGTAGATTGGCACCAAGTTGGATAAGATTTGGTAGTTTTGAGATTTTTTATCATAGAAAAGAGAAAAAAGAATTATTACAATTGGCTGAATTTGTTTGTGAACACCTGTATAACATTAATAGTGAAGGCGATGGTAATAATGACAAGTACGGAAACAAGTTTGGTAGATTGTTTAATGAAGTATCAAAAAGAACCGCTTTAATGGTTGCAAAATGGCAAGCTATAGGGTTCTGTCATGGTGTTATGAATACTGATAATATGTCTATCCTTGGTAGCTTGCATATTTATTTATTCATTTATTTTTTTATATTATTTTAATTCATTAAAATAAATCAATTTTGTTGTTGTCGTAGGTTTAACCATTGATTATGGACCATATGGATTTTTAGATGTTTATAATCCAGGTTGGATATGTAATCATTCTGATTATGAGGTAGACGATGATTCTAATATTTAATCTAATTAACAAAAATATATCGCAAACATAATTAAATAAATAAAATTTTTTTAAAATTATTAATTAATTTATACATTTTAAATGATAGGGAAGATATTCATTTAAAAATCAACCAGTAACTTGTTTATGGAATTTATTACAGCTGGGTATAACATTTCAAGAATTAATTGGTTTGGGAAATGCTATTGACAGTAATGATGAAAAAACTTTACAAAAGTTTATAGCAAATAATTATGGTGATGATGATGGCGATGATGAGCAACAAAAAGTTATTAATAGAGGCGAGGAAATTATTGATTTGATATTGGGAGAATTTCAAGAAAATTTTCTTAAAGAATATGAAAATTTAATGCGTAAAGTATGTAAGACAATTGTAACGATTGTACTGATTTTAATGCAACATATTATTAACTTTATTAATAATACAATAATGCTACAAAAATAGAAATTAGGATTTAACACTACGGAATCAGATGACTTGGACAATATTATAACTCCATTATTAAATTTATTATCAGCTCATTCAATAGATTATCATCATTTTTTTTATTCGCTTTCTTCGTTCTCAATTCTCAACTTTTCTTCTTCGGTCAGTGGTGATGGTTCCCTGCCAGAAAATATTATAAAAACACTATTGACGCAAAAAACTCAAAAAGAAGTAAACTCAAAAGAGAAGGAGATGATATTGAAAGATTTTCAAGGATGGTTTTTGGAATCATATTTGAAAAGATTAATAAAAGAAAATCAAAATTTTGATGAATCGTTGGAAAGAAATAGGATCATGTCGATGAAACAAACCAATCCAAAATTTGTGTTAAGAAATTGGGTACTTGAAGAGGTTATCAAAAGAGTTGAGAGAAATAATGATGTTGGTGTTGATGTGTTGAAAAGAGTTTTGAAAATGTGCCAAGAACCTTTTAATGAGACTTGGTGTAGTGATGATGACTCTGTTAATAATGAGGAAATATTGAAAGAGGAAGCAAGGCTTTGCGGAATTGTTCCTGAGGCAAGTTTTTTTTTTGGAATTTTTTAAAATAGAATTTGAATTTGACTTTTGACTTTACTATTATACTAATCATAATTCTCTCTATTATTATATGAAATAAATATAAAACAGTGGGGACATGAAATACAATGTTCATGTAGTTCATAGAATTAAATTCATAGAGTTAGTTCATAGAATTGGCTAGTATAATTTAAATGGAAATCAAAAAAAACAAAGACTAATTTTGAAGAATTATTTATTACAAGTTTTGTAAATCTACAATTAATTTAATTTTGTATCGACTGGCCAATCATCTTGGTCAAAGCAAATTTTTTATAATCATATGTCAATTTTATATCAAAATATTATTATTATTATTTAATCCAGAGTATACGCGCCTTTTTTTATGATATCAAAAGTCAAAGTTAACATGCGGGAAAAACGTGTAATGAATGACCAATTATTTTGTTAAATTTTCCTGATCAGGTGAGACCCCTATTGGATCTTTTCAATATTGAGAATGTGTTGAAGAAGTATATATTGACTGATGTTGATGGTTGGTGTAGGCGTTGGCATGTACCACATTCTGATCAAGATTTATTAACTTGGTCCGTGTAAAGTCCATTTATATTAATATGGTATTCAAGATGAAGCAGTAAGGGAACAAATTAATTATGTTCTTGATGAAGATGAGATTATAGGGAAGGTCCCAAATGGCACAATTTTTGACGGAATTAAGAAATTGAACAAAGGCGAAAAACATTTAAAGATTACTTGTGACAGATAAAATAAAGATAAAAATCATTTAGCAATTGTGATTATTATGAAAGTATTGAATTAAATTTCATACCAAATTCAAATGTAGATTGTGTGGATTGCGTTGTTGACGTGGTGAAAAAAATCAAGTACTGCTAAACTCAATGATACGAAGGTGGAAGAGGCTTTCAATACTTGGATATCAAATCTATTTGGGAATTTATTTAAAAAGTTAAATGGCCTGCGAAACATCAACATTTTATTTTTGAAGCATCTAAGCCTGCCTGGTGTTGTCAAAAACTCGGGAGGTTGCTAACGAGGTCAATTCATTTAAAAACAGATATTTCTAAAGTTATAAAAGAAATCAAGCTTTATTTATTTAGTGTTGACACCTCCTCCTTTGGATTACACGTGACAGGAATATCTTTACAATTATATGAATATAAAGGCATCGTTTGCCCAAAACCAGTATAAATTATACATGTATACTACTACTCTTTCTTTAACAAAAAAAAATATTATATCCTCAGTTGTATTTATCAAGAGTGTAAGTGGAGAGAAGGTCTATACAGTATGACGATGAATGAATTAGATGAAGCTGAGGCCAACCAACATAGAAATTCTGTGTCTAATAATGATAATGATAACAATAATGATAATGATGGTGATGATATTGATAGAACAATTCTTATCGAAGATGATAATGATGGTGATGATATTGATAGAACAATTCTTATCGAAGATGATAATAATGGAAAAAAAACAAGGCAGAGGTAGAGAGAGGTAGGTAAAAGGAAAACTAGATAAATTGTTATTATTTATTTGCTTAGAAACTATTTTTGTATATATTTAATATTAATAACGATTTTATAAAGCGATATAGCAACAAAGTATATTTTATTATTAAACGGTGTTTTTATTTTTGAGTATTAAAACAAAATTTGTTTATTGCTTCATAGAGGTGGGTGACATTTTTGTCAATTTCCATTTTTTTCAGATTAAGCAAAAAAACTTGATGAATGGTTGGAATAGTTAGTGATAAACAGAAAAATAAATTGGGCGGATCAGGTTGAACCAGCAAATGATTCTGAACATTAACTTGATATTAATGTAGGTTTATCAAGTCATAAATGCTTATTATGTTAGAAATTTTATTGAAGAACATCTTGAAAGCAGATCGATGTTGGAGTTCTTTATTAATTGGTGAATGATTTTATCCTTTTGACATTGTAAATGGATTTTACCATAATAAAAAGAAATAAACATGTGTATGGAATTCCCTGGCAATTTTTATAAATTGTAATGGGCACTCATTGATATATAAATAAACTCCATGTTTTATTCCTTTCCCAAATTGTTAAGGAAATAAATTTCTTAGGTAATTAACAATTTGGTTGCAATAATGTCTTACACAAATGGAAAGATCATATAAATAAATAGTTGGCTAATAAAAGAAATACTTGGCAAATAATAATATATATTTCACTTTTAGAAGCACATTGATTCTGAATGTTTTGAATGCTTCTCGGAAAGTGGAGCAAACAAGAAGGTGGAGTACTAGCAGTCTATCATGATGTTTGTCCACTATAGGTAAAGAAAAAATTTTCCTTGAAAGATTCTTTGAACAAATTAACGGATTGGAAGGGCACATTTCTAGATTGATTTTCTATTTCAAACTGCACTTAAAAAACCGGATCAGAACCATTTTCCCAAAGTTAAAAGTAACTGTTTTATTGGTGTTAAGTAAAATCAGTTATAGCGAGTACTGCAGAAAAATATAGCTAACTAGATGATTATAAATAATTCTTGTCATTATTTTTTGATACTATTATATGATATATATCATCAATATATAATTATCAATACACTATCTTATTTTTTGATATAATGAGATTGATTTCTTATTAAATTTGCTAAATAAAGTTAATACCAAAAACCTCTATTTCATTTTTTTTTTTAAAAAATATTTTGACATTCTGTTTTTAAGTAACAATTTAAAATTTCCAATGAAGTTTATCACGCACGGAGAAAGATTTTAAATAGTAAAATAACATTCTATGAAGTCACTATTTATTGCGAACCACTATTTAATAGGAGATTTTAATTTGCT